CGATTTTTATATCCGCAGACGAATGAGCAAAACGGAAAGGCAGCAGTACCTTCCTAATAAATTTGTCTAATTTCTTCATATCTGTGAGAGCCAGTTTACTTGTCTGAACACTTATCGCTGAAAAGAATGAACAGCAAAGCCCACTCATCACAAACTGCACTAATACGGTAATATAGTGTGCCAAAAATAAATAATATAGAACTAATAATGACCATTCGTTGAACGAATTATATTTTTAGAAATTATTTTCTCTAAATAATTGTCCTGTAAGTGAGACGAAATTCCGAAGGTTAGAAATCCATGAAATACTAAGAAGGTTTTGAAAAAATTATTTATATTATTAGAACTGGATTCAGAAACTACAGTTTAAACTACAATTGCTCTTCATGAATAAGAATTTTTCTAAATTTTAGACTTAAAAATAATAGAATGATTCAAAAATGCTTAAAACTGGAGCTTAACAGATTTTTTTCATGCTATTTTACAAAAAGTGGAAATCTAGAATGGGAAACAATGAAAAGGCGATTTAGGAGTAAGAGACCGTTTGTGCCGAAATAGTCCTTATTTCATATCAAAACATGGCCTCGAATTTCTTTTTCTAAAAGAACAACGGATAATATCAGAAGCATCAGAAGCAATACTGCAATTATACTATACGAAGAATAAAACGAACTTCCTTAAATTAATTATTGAAATCTTATTAAATTCGAAATAAACCTAAATCATCGTTTCGAGTTCGAGAGAAAATCAATTATGGCTTATGAGTAGTACAACTTTAAAGTAACAAATATAATTAAAATTCGTTTTTGGCCAAATTATTACTCTTTAAGGAATAAATGTTGCGTATTTTTAAGCATTTTCTAATTTGGTGATAAGATTTTGCGACGTAATCCTCCTTTATTGTAACGCAGATCGTAAGAAAGATAAAAAAATCTTCCTGAACTCGATCCCCCATCGCTAGCAATAAACTTATGTGCGACCAGAAATGTTCGTTTTATTTGGCATTATGAAGAACTGAGCCACCGGAAAAAGTCACGAAATAACGAAAACTTTATCCGAAATTTCCTTTCCCCAACGAAATAAGCTACGTTAATGCCTTTGAGCCCACAAATTGGAAAATGGTTAAAGATAAACTTACAGATTTGATAATTGGCGCAAAATAAATCAATAGAGTGAAGAACAATATCAGCCTGAAATCGGAACATTGCATTGAAGCAGTGGAACGCTAAACAGCTGTATAATGAAGGTGTAAAGGAAAATTTAAAAATCCCAAACGTTTAACAATTAAAATTTAGAACTAAAAGTTAAAAAACTTTTAAAGAATTTAATTTTCTCGGCGCCATTTAAAAAAAAGGAAAATATGTTTGAAAAACCTTAGAGAATCCTAAAAAAATTGAAATTTGTAAAATTCCTTCTGGGAATATTTTGCGGCGATTTTATGGATAATTCTCCTATAAAAGGAGCGAGGAGCGTTTCGATTTTTATAAAAGTTAGTCGCTGAATTTTTTTCGACAACAGCAAAGCAGCAAGGAGAAAAGGAAGGACGCAACTAACTAGTGAACGCTAGTGATATTTTTAATAGACGATATAAAGTCATACCATAATGGAATCCTGAACCGCAACCTCATTTCGAGGTGGGCCAGCACGCTAGAATTGATTTCACTTTAAAGTGTTCTAATTTTAGGGCAAAAGATTGTTGAATGTGTAAATCGCTGCGAATAATTTATGAAGAGGTAAATGTCTGTTGATAACCGTCGGGCAAAAAGGCTCAAAATTTATCCCAAACTACACGCTATCGTTGGTCTTCACCTAAAGGACTTCCACAGCCAAAGCTTTTACACCAATGTGAAATATGAAACAGCTGAATTTTAGCTGAGAAGGTTAGGGCGGAGCGAGAACTACATAACGCCCCGGGTAACTGAGACTACTAATCTTAGCTGCAAGGATAACCGGAATAAAATGCCTCAAGAATGAACACCTTGGAAAAGAGATCGAGCATGGAAAAAAGGAAGAAAACGAGAAACAAAATAAAGTGGCATTTCCAAGAAATATGAGCTTAAATCCTCATCGATGAAAAAAACTATAGTTTACTGGAATACTACGGTCGAGTTATAGACAGAAATATTTTAAATATATGGGCCAGCAAGTAAAATTTGCAGCAGCTGCGAGGAGATGATGCTGACAACAATGATAATGATGTCATATCATGGAGCCATTTTGTCAATCTATACTTTAGCATTGAAATTTAATGTTAACAAATATTTTGTAAAATTAGCAGTCATTCAATTAATCTCTGCGTCAAAGTAATTACTGGTACGATTCAGTCTGTGATAGCTTCTGTTAGGACATCAAATATATGTGGAGGGGATTTGGCGAATGTGAAAGGAAGCGAAATGAACGAATATAATGAAGATGCATTGGCCAAATTTTAAAAAATAATTTCATGATTATACGAAAAGATCAAAAGTGCCTACTAGTATTTATATGTTTATAGTTAGCTCCATTTGATAAGTATTTATCACAAAACAGCTTAGTCTGATTAAAAGATCGCTCGATTTATCTTGAGCTGTGTTCGAAGTAGTGAAATAGTAAGAATTGCTTATCATGTACAGCCAAAACCTTAAGTATTTCTGAAATCAATATCGGTTACCTTCGATATGGGCTTACGTAGCAATTCGCTTATTCTTGCAAGTGCTTCATCTAGCTATAAGGTTAAATAAGAAATTATCGAGGCATATATTAAGTCAGTTGTTCCTTAAGGTGTTTATAACACACTCCTGTTTTTAATGGCCGCCTAGCATCGTATGTCGTCGTTAATCGTTGATGTTCTAACTTTATAAAGTTTGCTCCAGGCCTATAAAAGAATATGAAACCTAAGAAATATGCTGTTGACATTAAAAATACCCAGAGGTATCTCAATACGACCTTTGCCACTGGAAAATTATTCACCATTATACCGATGGCGAGCAGACTGACCAGAGGCGATTTGGCCTATCGTATAAAACCTGACCGATATGACCTACAAGATCCTCTACCCACCTTTTTGATTTGTTGTTTCGATTTGATTTGTTTAGCTTGACAGTGAATTACAAGAAAACAAGACAAAACCGTTTAAAATTGAAATTTTGCAAATTCAAGGATGTATCCACACCGAAAAGCCAATAAGCCAAGACTTGATTTTGGGTAATAGGGTTGTAAATATATGCGATGAGGTCAAATTCATCAAAATAATTGGCAAAACCTCTACAACTGAAGCACAGGTGGGACTTTTACTTCTCATAACTTTATCATTTTTCAAATTCTATATTTATCCTTTAATTTCTATGTTCCTTCTTTTTTATTATTTATTTGAGTTCACAATTTAATGCACTGAATTCTTCTTCGATGAATTTTCTTTCTCTGCGCAATTAAAAACTATAAAAGGATAGAAAATGTGGGCGAATGGTGCACTTTTCGTTTGAAGGCGAGATGGTGGTGTTGAGTACCCGCCTGCACACACCTGCACCTATACAAAGTCGGCAAAATGCTTTCAACCAACATAACGGAGTTATGCTAACTAAGATTAAATGAGGCATCACTTTAACTTAAAATTTTCATCCATTTTTTATTAATGATAAATTCTCAACAAATATTAGAAAATATTTCATTTTCATTTACACTGATAATATTATCAGCGAATCTTATGCCAATCCTTTCATTAGAGATTCATTCGAAGTTAGAAGGATGCCTAGCACCACACAGATTTCAGTTTTAATGATAGCCTTGCTTGCCATCGAGGCCATAAACCTATGATCGCTGAGTTGAAACAAAAACAACGCGCCACTCGATTGTCCACCATCAACTTTATCATATCATATCTACTATGGCAGCGAAATTGTTTGGATTTATAATTTTACCGAAATTTCCCTACATAGACGCATTAAACTTTTAATTTAGAAACTTTTTTTATACATTAAATGAGAAAAAACATGAACTTTTGATTTACAGTTTTGCCGTAGTTTGTCCTTACTGAAAATTTTCATTCACCGATTTAACATAAATTTGCATTTCGAATTATTCCTGTTGAACAAATGAAATTCATGAAATTTTTTTAAATTCAATTCATAATTTGTGAAGGCAAAGTTGTGTATAAAATGAAAAAATATAAATCGATTAACACAATTTATTTATTACGACAACTTATTTATTGTAGAATAACTAACAAATGCAGTATTTTTGTCATGAATTGCTCAGCTTCGATATGCAATCAAATTCATTGAAATCTATAGCCATTAATTCATCCAAAGAGAAAAGAAAGAAAAAATAAAAACGTTTAAAAAATTGCGAGAATTCAAACCGATTGCTGGTATGAAATTCAAAAATCTTAAGAATAAATAAGAAAACAGAATATTTAACAGAAGAAAACAGAAAATTCAACATCTAAAAATATTCAACCAGTTAAATAATAATTGCAAATATTTTCCAATAAAATAAAAAACGATTAAAAATAAAGAAAGAAAAGAATTATTACAAAAAAGGATATCTATAAATCTTTATACAATTTACAAAAATTTCAAAATATTTATAAGATTTATTGCTAATGAAAATAGAGCACATTTCTCATGGCTTTTTTTTGAGCTCTTTTAAGAAAAAATTTAGAAACTTTTTAAGAACTTTTTAAAATAATGTTGGTTGCACCTTGCAATTCATTGAAAAAAGAAAACCACTGCTTAAATATGCTTAAATATACTTATCTCCAACACTGTTTCCGAACAAAATTAATCACCAAATTCACAGGAAAAAAAAAAATCAATAGCTTAGTTCAACTGCATCGTTTTTACGAAGAATGATGCATTCTCACTTTTCAATTAATTTTAGAATGGTGACTTCTTTCTTAATAAAATTATTTTCCTTGAAAAAAGATGCTTTGGAAAATTTAATTACAAAAAAAACGAAAAACACTATTAGTTGCAAAAAACTTATGGTTATAATGCTTTCTTATTGAAAATCAACAGTTCAGTTCAGTCGCGGTGAAAGCGTTTCGGTAAATAATGTTCTTCTTCTTTCCAAACCGTTTCTTTGTTACCTTTTTCCACTTTTTCTCGTTCTTTAACTGCCTTCCATATTTCGATATCTCTCCAGCTAGCTTTCTCGAAATCAGGTCGAGGATTATGTGACGGTGGAGGTGGAATTTCTTTCTTAGGTTTACCAAAATTAAAATGTTCATTTTTGCCATAAATATCATCGTCCTAACAATAATTTTTGGATTAATCACCGACAATTTCAAAAAAATTTGATACGAAAATCATAATTTTTTTCTTACTAAAATTGTCGGAGAAAACTTTGCAAAAAATGGAAATCTTCGCCGTCTGTATATCAATTGCTTTCCTTAGTTTAAATTTCAAAATGCAGAATGTCTGAGAAAATTTTCTTGATAATGAATCATAACGGTCTGCATCTCTTAACATCTGCACAGATGTTTAAAAATCGCAGATTAACAACTGACATTCACATTTATCAATCGCATGCCGGGATATTAAGAAAATAAAGTTATTTGTTCATTATTACGTTTAACATAAAAATTTGGAATAAAATTCATTAAAAAATATATAATCCTAAATTAAAAATTGATGCTCAGAATAATTTTCATAATAAATAAAAAATAAAATTTAGAAATTATTTGGAAGTGTATTATAAGAAAAATGAAGAAATGAAGAATAAATTAAATTTAATTTAATTAATGAGAATAATTTTCTGAGTACCGATGCTTTCTATTCCCCGCAGGAGTAAATCCGGGATGCTGGCGACCCACCTATACTTCTATTGCCAAAGGACTCCCTGGCAATATCTATGTGATAAACCAGCGAAGTGAATCTAACCATTAATGATTAATGATGAATTTAACCATTAATGAAGGTTCTTTGAAAAAAAATTAATTAAAACAATTAATAAAAATAAGAATAAGAATTAATAAAAACAAAAACAAAAAAAATTTTTCCATATAATAACATAAGATTTTTTAATAAAAAAAATTTGAGAACCCACTTTAACCAATCCAGGTGAATCAGACTTTTTTTGCAATCTCCAGTCCACATCATCAATTGTTTTCTTCTTAATTTTTGAAGGGTCATAACCTGAAATTTCCTCTTTCTTTAGTCGTCTCATTTCTTTTTTTAACCGTTTAGCCTCTTTCTTTGCCCGTTTCCTCTCTTCTTTCATCTTCTTTGCCAGATCATCGTTCAATTTCAAGACTCCGTCCTGAATAATACTTGCAGAAAAGTGGTTTAAGGTAAAATTAATATTTTTTATGAATAATCGACTATTGATATATATAAAGTTTAGTATGTTTACTTGGCGTTTTTTAAATAGTCCAAAACATGAATAAAATAATTATAACAAGTAAATTAAAATGAATTCCTAACAATTATCTTCAACCCAAGAGAAAAACTTACTTCATCCAGTTTACCTTTCTTTGCCATGCGTATCAAGGGATCCACTTCTTCCTCTTCCTCATCTTCTAAAGTTATAGAAATATGGAAAATAAACAATTAAAAAAAAATTTTTCCATAAAATTCTGTAACCGTATAAATTGACGATTCTGTATATATACAAAATCCATGCCATAAATATTTACACCATATTAATCATTAGATTCGCCGCTGTTACAGTGAAGACAAAGGAAAAGAGATTATCGATGTGAAGGCCGAATAGACATAAAAGCAAGAGTTTAACACATTAGACAAGACTTAAGGTACAGTTGGAGAGGATGCAGAAAATATTCAAAAACCCAGAAATTGTACAACATAAGTAGCTGGTAATATCTGCAGGAATAAGTGTTCGATATATGGCTTAAACCTTCCAAGGACAGACAGAAGATTGCCAATTGTAATGAATAAAGCCAAGATCCTGTGAGACCTGCCCATCCAGAAAAGTAGGCAAATGCTGGCAAATCAATCAGATATAATGGTAGTAGATAAGAACCAAAAATCAATACTGGTGATAGAAATAGTAATATTAACAGTGACATAAACACAAAAAGAAGAAATATGAGAAGAAAACAATAAGGATTGAGAGAAAAATGGGCTAGAAATGTGGAAATTGAAGGCCAAAATTGATAATATGAAATAATTTCGGAGGTGTGGTCCCAAAGGTAAAAAGTGGTTCCAACACACCCCAGAATTAACATTAGAGATTTTTATTCAGAACAGCGCACTCTTAGGAACAGCTAAGAACCTCATGCCATGCCTCTGGCAGAAAACTCGAATTTGAGGATGACATATGGCACCAAACGTAGTGGATTTAATATGTATATATATTTATCCATTTAATATTTCAATGGAGACTTTGGTCCTTGAATACCTTATTGTTTATCTCTCTTATCTCAATATGATACTAGAATCATGCCGGTTTTAACGTCACTCGGATTAAGAAGATCCGTGTCAGAGGAACAAGAGTCATTCGATGACAAGTGTATTAACGGAACAAACCTTACGGAGAAAGGAAGATATGGAATTCATGGTAAGATCTGATCAAAGGGATTATATGAAATGTGTATATTCTGCGCTATACCCCAACAGAGCCATGAAGAGAAGAAACTATATTGGAAGAATAATGGAATAAAAGAATAATGGAATGGAATGGAAGAAGACCTAGAACATTCACAAAGAGCAAAGAAGAGATTTCCATGCAACAAGCTGCGAAGTTGAAAATTGCCTTCCAATATCTTTGCTACAAAATACAGATATAAGAGAGAAAATCATGAATAAAATAGCCATAATTAATCATCGAGACCGATTACATCATGTCACCAATTAATCAAAGATGCAAATAGAGCATTCGATTTCAGTGCAATAATATGGCAACAATAGAGCCACGAAAAGCAATTATATTGGAAGAGTAATGGAATAGAAGATTGAAAGAAACAGAAGACATCAATGCAAAATGACTGCAATATCTCAAAAACAATTCACAGTAACTTCATAGAGTAGGAATTAGCTACCATCATAATTATACAATTAACAGCGACTCAAAAATATGAAAATTTGGCCTGGTTCCTAAAATATGAAAATTTGGACAACACCTGGAACTTACTAACCAACCATTCATGAGCGTCTTATGAACCAGTTGCTTATGGCAAACTTTCATCTATATTGTTTAATACAAGAAAGAACCGTATTGATCATGAAAGATGCTCATAAGGAAATAATATCGTCTAACTACCGACCAATAATCTACCTACCCACAATGCGGAAAGTCCTGTCAGGCACCACAGCCAAGAAGGAGAATTACCACCAGCCATCTTTTCTACATGGATAACATCAAGTTATATGCATAATTAATGAACGGAATATTGACTCGCTTATCCATCTAACTAAGATCTACAGCGATCCAGTTCTTTCTTATTGTGACCAAGAGACAGGAACGTTACGAAGAAGGAATATTAGAGAAGTACCAAGGGATGAAAGAAAAAAAAGATATAAAAAGTGAAAACCAAAGTAATTCCAATGATAATTGGAGCACTTGGAACTTTGACCCCTAAACTAAAAAAGTGGATTTCAGTAGATTTAAGGAAAAACTCAGATATCTCATCCAAAAGAGCGCAATATTAGGCCTAAGGTGCAGAACCAGGCCTCTACCTCCCAGGCCTCTGGTAGAGAAAAAATGAAAAATGTTTTTTTCGACAATAAATATGAACCTTGTGAAATAACTGGTTTGGGTGCGCATCCTTCTTCCCATACTCGACGGATTTCTTCATCAACATCTTCATTGTATTTGGGCACCTTGTATTGTTCAACATGATCCACACGTATCGTACGTTTGAGTAACTAAAAAGACTGAACAACTAAAAATGAAAAATAGTAAAACTACATATTAAATATCCCGAACGCAAGCAAAACTTCCCACTGAAAAAACGGTGTTGCTGGCCCATTTCCATCACCAAATGAATCTCTGATAAAAATTTCTGTTCCAAGTAAGTGAATTACCGAACGAGAAATGATAAGCGCTAACCACCTATTTACTTTATTAAATAAGTATAAAACAATGAAGTACCACTTAAATCGGTAAGGTCAGAGTCTATCTATGATCAATTAAATATATTGAAAAATTAAGAAACTATATAAGAAAATAAGCATTAAAATTTAAATTCAAAAATATAACAAAAAGAACATTGAAATATTAAACAGAGCGTATTGCCAGCAATATTAATAGACTGTTTGTAAGATTCTATATCTTTATGTATGGTTAATGTTTAATATAACAAATTTTAATTTTTTATTTTAGCTGTATCGCTTCAAATTAAATTATACAACTTCGACTTCATCTATAATTAAATGGAAACAGCAGAATATATATATATATGTTGTATGAAATGAATCTGTATCATTAATAGTTAAATCACAGATCGCATCTGCTCAATATTCAAGTTCACAAGTGAACAAAATCAGGCAAAAGTTTTTTAATTTTTTTCAATTCCTTAAATAAAACTGATAAAATCTATAAATTTGGTAACCATTTGTTAATATTATATTAACCACGTTCATTCAATGAGCATTTTGTAAAATATCTGTGTTTTTTAAAATTCAAATCCATTTACCTCAAATATTTTATATGAATGAATAAAGAAAGAATTTTAGTTTTATTTTAATTATTTCATATCAATTTCTGGCTCGATTCAATTATCTTTCGACAACAGTCGAATACCAAAGTCGAAAGTTCAATTTTTTAGGTTTTTTTGTTGACGCGAATCGAATCGGCGTCGAATACGTTATAAGGTTACGAACAAATAAGAACTGTAACACATGAGTGAAGTAAAAAGAACCAATTTAAAGAATTGTTAAAATATACATATAAATAAAATATAGATAATATCGAAAGATTGAGCATTTTTTATAATCTGATGAATATTATCTACTCTAATAAAGATTTAATATTTATCCGCTTTCACTGTTTTCTACATTTTGCTATTTACAGCTCCCTCTCTTATTGTTTTTCTTAATATAGGCCCATTATCCAAATACATTACTAAATGCCTTGCTTAGTCTTTGTATACAAATTAATAATGATAATTGATAATGATAAAACTTTTAAAAAATTTTAATCTCACGTTGATTCCGTTAAAATTATCAACAGCCAAAATTGTTGAGCGTTGATCTTCATAGCAAATAAACGCAAAACCTCGTGATTTACCTGTTTTTCGATCACGAATTAAATTTATATTGACAATTTCGCCATATCTAAAAAATAAAAGTTTGAAAAATTTGAAAAAAAAGTTTGAAAAAAAAGTTTGAAAAAACAAAAATTAAGAATTCCAACAGGAAAAATTCAAAAAATAGAATTTTATAAATTAAAAATTAGATTTAAGAATTATTGCTTCAGGCACTGCAAAATAAGGAAAAATAAGGAAAAAACAGCGTGGATTAAGATGGATTAAGGGATAGAAAGGAATTTTTTAGATAATAGATATGGATGTTGCACACTGAGCGATCATTGCCCACATTTTTTCTAAACCCTGTGTGGATATAACCTGCTTGTCGGAGGCCCATCTTCCTCACTTCGGGTCTCGAGTAATTACTAATCCTGGCTAGGAGCAGAGGCACTGGCTATATCACTGGTGCTTCAGATAACTCGGGGCGAAATGTTGTAGCGATCGACATATCTGAAAAGATTCATTCTTCTTTGATTGACTGGAAACCGGCAAGGGACTATATGGACTATGTCCGCTTTAAAGGTAAGTTCTACAATATCCTCGGTCATCAGTATCTATGCTCCAGCTTCGTCGGCAGATGATCGTGATAAAAACAAGTTCTATGCGGAATTTCAATTGCTAACAACGTCTCTTATATGGAACTAACAGAATTGAAATAAAAACTGGTACCCGTCAAGGTTGTATCCTTTCCCCTACAAGAATCAACTATCCAATTAAGCGATGAAATGGACAATGGACAACGAATGTCGGCACTCAAGAGGTGTACAAATCAGTCCAGAGTACCGTATTACAGATCTTGAACACGCTGATGATGTAGTCCTTTTTGCTGGTAGTAAAAAATGGAAACAATGATAAACAATGTGTCAGCAACAGAGAATCGGACTTAGGGTCAATGTAAATAATACGAAAGCCTTTTCATTTTACATACAAGAAGTTGATAAAATGCCTCTTTTAATAAAGTCATTGCTGATTGTCTGATTTTAAATATCTTGGATCTACTCTAATACCAAATAGCCTGGCAAAAGACGATATTACACCCCAGATTACGGCAGCTAGGAATGTGTTTTTTCGGCTGATGATACCTTCATGGAGCGCTGTCGCGAGCCATTATAAAAACCAAAGTCCTTATCTATATAAGCGCGAATCGTTCGATCTTGCTAAATGGTTTTGAGACTTGGCCAATGAGAGTGGAAGATATTAAGAAGTTATCTGCTTTTGACCACTCTTTTCTAAGGTACATTTTATAGGTCCGTCAAGCGGATAAAATATCACATGATCGCATCCTTTATTCAAATACCACTTGCATAAATAATGTTATCACAGAGCGCCGCTTTCGCTGGTTGGGGTACGTTCTCCATCGTTCACGACAGGAGTTGACCCATATTTTGTTATTTGCTAAACCGTATAATGGATGGCGTCAAAAGTGAAGTGGGCCAATCAAGACCTGGACTGATACAGTCAGGAAATATTTTGAACGTTTAGGAGGACCAGCGATATATGGACTTAAACGATGGAACAAGAAATGGCTTCTATTACTGTCGACGATAGCATCAGATCGCTCATCTCGATTTACCCTTACCCTTACGACTTATCCTTTGTGGCAAGTGGAGCCAGTCTAACCAGTAATGGTGAGAGCTGTTAGAAGAAGATTTTGATTACTTATTCATTTATTTGAAAAAATCAAGTACAGCGACAAGCGTCATATGCTTATATTAATAACAAATAAGGTCAACGAAAAGAAATTAGTGAGCGGTATATTATATGATACCAAAAGCTAAGATTATGAAACTACATCGTTTGGTAGCTTATTCCAGTAATTATTGGTGCGAATGAAAAAGCCATGCATCTTTAGGTTAGCTTTGCATTTAGGTTTTAGTATCAATATTTTTTATAGATCTTATCGGGTTGGAATTTAACCCCTGAAATTATATTTTCGACGAAAATTGTTCTTCGACGAAATGGGAGTGAGTCGAGGTTGTACAGCTGGTCATGGAGGTGACCTCCAACATAGATGGCTATATAAAACCAACACTCATTCATTCGTGGGGTTTGACGACAAATATCAAATGAAGAATGGCTGTTATGTTCCGCTTTTAGTTTTTGTTTATTTTATGGCATTTTTACTGTTTTGTTTGGCTAATGATGTTGTGTATTGGCGCGATTTAAAATAAAGGTTTAATTACCTAAGTTTGAGGTAACGAACGATAGGTTAAGTTGATGACACTACATCGTTCGATAGCTTATTTCAGCATGATGCGAATGAAAAAGTCATGCACCCTTAGTTTAATTTTGCATTTAGATTTCAAAAAGCGCATTAGATTTTGCTGGGCTGAAATTAAATTTAACCTAAAATTATAATATCAGAAACGATCTATTTTGACGTAGAGAATTTTATATGTATAAATCTTAAATCTTAAAAGTTTTATTGGACGAAATGGGAGCTGTTACAGTTGTGCCTTATAATTGAGATTGCTATTGGGTGAGAGGCGACGTACAATGTATTTTTGAAATTCAATTAATTTACTTGGTTTGTGGTACCTGGGGGAATAACTGGTTGCATTATACTGAAGAATATGCCAAACGAACGCCTTGCATATTTTGATAAGAATACTTTATTTCTTTTTTCAACGATCGAATAATAAAATTTAATATTCTTGAGGATTTTTTTAACTATGGTTCTGCACGAAGATCGAAATCAGAAAGATTTTCTCCCACGACTAAATGCCAAGATCTGAGATATTCAAAACTCGTCTAATTACATTACCATTAATGAGAGAGTCCTCACCATTACTGGTTAAGTACGCTCCACTGGCTTATCATATTGAACAATATGCCTTGGCGATAGAAATACAAGTGAATCGCTAGCATCATTCGGAATTATATTACCATTAATAGATTAAGACGAATCCTAACGAATTATTATCGAACAGAAAGCCCGAAATTGACCTCTCGCTCATTTAATCGGTTCTGATTGCGAATATGATTATTCCTTAATTTATGGCAAAACAGGAAAAATAGCGAAGACAGCAGAAAACAAATAATTATGCAATAACGGCCGTACGAATTACAAATACAAACCATGGTAATCAGTTGAATTGGAAGATGGATGAAACTCAATGGTGAAATATCATTTTCTTCAGAATGTGAATCTTTAATGCTTTTAGTAAGCATTGTTAATGTCGTTGCTATTAAACCTATGTTTAACGCTTTGCATATTTTGATAAGAAGCTTTGTTTCTTTTTTCAACGATCGAATAATAAAATTTAAAATAAATTTCAAAAAAATAAAATTTAAAATAAATTTTAAAAAAAAGTTTCTTAATGATTACAACTATTGTTATTATTTCGACTGATTATTCTTATATTTAAATTTTGAATGAAAAGAGACTTAAATAAGAATTGAACATTATTTTTAGAAAAGGAAAATTGCATGAATATCAAAAAAAATGAAAAACGAACTGCGAGAAAACCGATAAAACATCGCCTTCGTTAAGACCGTAGGGTAATCCACCAATGTAAATCCACGCTGAATTGCGATACTTCTCATGCCACGAATTCTTGTTGCCTCCCGATAGCCCGAAATTGACCTCTCGCTCATTTAAACGGTTCTGATTGCGTATATTCGTCAGCGGATTCATGCCCCCAACATAAACACCCCGACGAGGCTCCAACCGATTACAACTGACCGATCTGATTTTTCGCAATTCAAGCTCCACGAGTCGTGGCCGCGGTCCATCTGGTAATCCAATTTTTCAATTTTTTCTCAATATAATTTAATATAAAAAAATTAATTTAGGAAATATCTTTCAATGCGTTTATCTGAGCTTTTAAATTATTTCAGAGAAATCTTTGACCTGAAATATCTCCAAATGAAGATTTGCATAGCGCAGCAAATTTGCATAGGGCCGTAATTCTCTGCACTATTTGAGTTTTTCAGAAGTCTTAGAAAATTGTGTGGTGCCAATATTGCTGAATTTTCTGCTTTTATGCTATTCTTAGGTTTTTAGCTTGCGGGGTATTTGCTATTTCGCCAGCAACGGGGAACCTGCTGCTTTAAAACGGAGTGGTACTTGGTTGTCGTTCGAAAGAGGTAAGCGATAAAAGAAATGTTTTATGATGAAGCAATAAATATATAAAAATTGGCAGTGCTGAACAAAAATTTTTGTTTCTGCGTGAGGTCATATAATGCTTACAAATATACATTATGGACGCGTGGACTTCTCGGTCATCCGCTGCCAAGTCTGTTTACCTTCGGCAAGACTTATGATCTGTTGTTATCGCTATTGCTTCTGTTTTCTCCAAATATTTTTGTGCCAGCAGTTGAGTCGCACTTTTCCTACCATTAATTTCTGGCTAAATGTACGGTCGAAATGAGAAGTAAGTACCAGGTAAAGAGACGATTGTGTCGTCTCAATTAGTGGGTCTTATATTCCAAATAACGACGGTTAAATTTTAATCCAGAAAATATTTTTCATTCGGAAATTACGAAAAACGAATGACGATGCAAGCAGTTTTTTGACCAAAGTTCTATCAATTTTTTTGGAAAATTTATTTGAAAACTTTTGAAAATTCATTATTTAAATAAATTATTTCTGAGTTTTAAGATTTTTATTAAATTTTTATGCTTTTTATTTTTAATTTACTCGAATTTCTCTTTTTTTGCATAAAACTTTTTATTTCATTTAATTTTTAATTTTCAGTCAATAAATTTTCTTCGCCTCTTTATTTTTATTTTCGCCTAAAATTCTTCTATATTGAGCGAGAAATCTCCAATTTTTCTACGTTAAATCTTTGGAATTTCTGTTAATTTTTTCTTAAAAAATTTAGAAAATGTCATTGAACCGTCGTCACCGAAGGAATTTGGCGGATGCAACGTATGAAACTGGTATAAACACAAGTTCGGAGGATTTATATCACAGCGACGATCATTATCAAAATACTGACTCAGATTATGATGTGAGCGATAGAACTTATGCTAATTATTCAGAGTTAGTTATTTTTGTAATTTGTAATGATTGCTCACCATTAAGCTTTATTTTATTCTAATAGTACCATTCCCGGCTTTAATGACTGGCTGCCTTTTTCTGCTCATTGATAAGCTTGTTTATTTTTATTTAGTTTTATTTTTTATTTTTATTTAGTTTTATTTTTATTTTATTTTGCACTATGCTCAACCTAACCTACAAGATAAAAGTTTTATTGTTAATGTATACAGATAGATAGATATAAGAATAATATATGAATAAAAAAAATTCACATTTAAAAATTTTCCTTCGATTTTTTCCTTAATAGTTTAATAAGATTTGAGACAAGAAACAATTGGAGAAATAGAAGAGAATAAATTGTAAATGGAGAAGTTTTTATGCGATTGATTGATTGATTTAGGCGTCAATGGCTCTGCAATGCATGATAAGGGAGCGTTTTTTTGTGAAAGCTTTCATTTTTCTTCTTAAAAAAATTTCTCATTCAAAGTACAAAATGTTGCGGCAAACAGCCGGTTCATCTGCACTGTTCACGAAAGTTGTTTTAAAAGTAGGTGTGGATCATGTTCAGACTAGGTGCTGTCCTATTTTGCATATTTTTAACCTGCTGTTGGATCTTTGAAACTATGGTGATAACTGATTCCTGCTCTGGAAAATTGCTGTGGCTTCATTTTGGGTCCTATAACCACTTTGCTTTTGTTATGAATCTTCTTTTTCTCCCATATACTCTTCCAATATTATTTAATTTTTGCTATTGAACTGCAGTCGAGAGCACAATGAATGATTCTTTGGAGAACAGGGCAGTTATCTTTTTGCCTTTGGTTTTCTAGCCAGTGCTATAAACTCTAGGGCTTATAATCCTTGTATTTTTCCAGTTCATCTCTTTTTTATACCTTCATACCTTTCTGTATTTCCATCATACCTTCATACCTTTCTCATCTAATTTTCCCTTTTAAATATTTCAAGAATTTATTTATTTATTGAAAACCAGCCAAGCGATGACAAACGCCATGTGTTTGTATTTATAACAATTAAAATAACAAATAATTAATGACTAAAAAATGAAAAGAAAATATGGCAAAAATTAACAAACTAAATAGGAAATAAAGAGGAAATTACAAAATAATATAATATAGTATAATTCAAAGTAAATATATTGTGTCTCTTTTTTTCCTTCTTAAGAGTCCTCACCATTACTGTTAAACTTACTACACTGTTTTGTCGCATTGGGCAATATGTCAGGGAGTCCCTTGGCGATAGAAATACGGGTAAGTGGCCAGCATCAGCCGGATTTTTATACAGGTTTACTCGTGCGGAGAACCGCATCTTCGGCTGCTCCAAATTGAGCAACAACCCACTGAGCCATTACATTCCCAATTTTTTTCATTAGTAAATGTTGAACCCTATTATACAAAAAAAAGATTGCATGTTCAACAGTATACTGGCATGATTACATGTTCAACAGTATTATACAGTTTTGCATGTTCAATATTCATTTTTTCTTGGAAATTTCTTGAATAATTTGGCTTGCAGTAGCCCATTTATAGGTTCCCCATCATCTGATAGGGATCTTATCAATCCGGGAAATACTCGAGCGTTATATTCCGGTATACGATGCTTGCATACGATGCTAATTTGCCATCCTTATATTTGTATATTCTAAATATATATATAGATAGATATATATATATATATATTTATCCCTTGAAAAAGGAAAAGGATTTATATTTAAATGAATTTAATATTAAGCGAATTATTTAAATTTAATTTCAATTTATTTCGACAGATTGCGACCGTCACGGCATCTTAGTCGACGAGATATCGAGCGAATCAACTATCGAATGATTAATGAAAGAGTTGTTGAAGATGTTACGATAGAGTTCTTCTATAAACCTCGTACCATTTCAGTGCTTGTTGCCATTTGTGCTTTTCTTCTTCTTCCTGCGTTTTTACTGTATATTTTTGCAATTTCCTTTTAAATTTTCTTCTGAATTAATTTCATTAATTAATGCAAGAAAAAATATTATAACTTCATCGGTGAACTAGTTTTTGGAGATATATCTGTGATTTAGGTTGTTCGTTTTTCATATTTACTTTAAATTTACCAAGTTTAAGTTTTTAAGTTAAATTTTTAATTTTATTTTATTTTTATTTTATTTAATTCTATTTTAATTTTTTGTAGATTATTACTGAAATTATTAAATATTTTTAAATATTTTTTTACGTTTAAATTCCAAATTTTATTGTAGCGAGGACGTATTTTCTGACAGAAATGTCCTTAATGGTTTTCTAGCCACTTTTGTGCTTTTCATAGTTATCAGTGCTCTTGCATTTCCAAATGGTTTGTTTTTCCTCTTCTCAATTCGAAAATATCAATAAATGCGATCATAGAAAATTTTTTATTTATTTGCTCCCAATAATTTCCTCCCAATAATGTTTTGATATTTGTCAACAGACTCACTCCACCCGTTTCCACAGATTTACTTAAGTGCTGTTTACTTTTTTATTATATTTACTTCTTTTTTATTAAAAATATTTTCTTCTTTAAAAATATCTTAATCATTTCTGTTTATTTTTAGGGCCATTCATTCGACCCCACCCGGTTTTTTGGCGAATTGTTTTTGGTATAAGTGTAACATACGTAATGCTTCTTCAGTTTGCACTTTTTCAAAATTTTGCGGATATAAAGAGCATATTGAAGTGGCTTGATCCAGAGAGATTAAATAAGGACAAGTTGGATGAAAAAGTTTGCTTTCTTTAATTTTCTTTCGCTTGAATTATCAGTTAGTAGTTTTATTTATTAGTTAATAGTCAGCTTAATCTTTAATTTTTTAACATTTTATCATCTTTTTTGGTCTTCTAAATGATAATCTTTTATACAATTTTTGTCAGGAATATGCGATAAACTGTTCTGATGTGACACTTGAACGAATGTGGAGCCATGTTGATATATTTGCGGTTGCACATTTCCTTGGTTGGGCAATAAAAGCACTGCTAATACGACATTCAATTATATGTTGGTACATAAGTATTGCATGGGAATTAACCGAGGTTAATATCTTTTTTTAATTTGTTTTTGCTCGTAGAAATGATATTTTAAATTATGTTGGAGTACTAACGTTGATAAATTTCTTTTAATTTCCTTCTAATGAATTTTGTAGGTTTTTTTCGCTCATCTTCTACCAAATTTTCAAGAATGTTGGTGGGATGCAATAATTCTGGATGTGCTTATTTGTAATGGCCTTGGTATCTGGGTTGGTATTAAATGTGCAAATTTTTTTGAAATACGGCAGTTTCATTGGGAGAGTGTCAAGTAATTTCCAGCTTCTGGTTCTCAACATTTCGCTTTTCAGTGGCAAAAGTTAAATTTATATGTGGCTTTATACAAATTTATATGTGGCTTCAATGTTTTTTTGAATAATTTTTTGAGGAGACTGCTTTCGCTCCCTAATGATTTTGAATTTAAATTGAATTTGTGATAATTTGTCGCAGATTTAAAAATAGAGATAAATAAATAATATCTGTCATAAACAATTTGAAAATTTCTTATCAAATGGTTAGTTTCTTCCTTCATTACTGTTTTTGAAAATTTGGTTTCCAGTTTTTTCTTTTAGATAATTCTTTCAGAGATATCAAAACGACACGTGGTAAATTTAAGCGTGCTGTTTTGCAGTTCACGCCAGAAAGCTGGATTAAAGTCGATTGGTATAAGAACTGTGCTATACGTCGCACTTTGACTATTTATTCATTCGTCATGATTTGGCTGGTTCGTGTTTTTGGTTTTAAAACTTTAGGTTGCACCAAAGTTTTATTAAATAACAATTGTTCTTGTCATGCATTGCTATTTAAGGTCAGCGAACTGAACACATTTTTCTTGAAGCATATTTTTGCTGTTGATACTTCGCATCCACTGGTATCCTTTCGTTTAGCTCTTATTTCATTCATATCAGCACCTACAATAAGGTTAATAATAGTTTTGTTGTTGTCGCAAATAAATAAAATTTTCGTCCGTAACTCAAGGAATAAATTTGTTGAATACTTTTACAGACGAAAATGATTTAACTGGCGAACAGAATGTTAACATTTAACATTTTTTAAACAATATTTTAAAATATTTGTTAATCTTATATTTCTTTAGGCAATTTTATATGTTTGCAACGGATCCACGCATTAAAAGAATGGGTATGCAGAGTTGGGTTTATTTAGCTATTTGTGTGCTAGAAGCTGCTGTTTGTGTAAAATTTGGTCGTCCTCAGCTTCCTCCAGTAAAGATAACTCTTATTGTTTGTTGGATTGCATTTATGGTGAAATTTTTTGTATATGACTATTTTTAGTTTCAATTTTCTCGTTCTCGTTTTAAAAATATGACTTGAAAGAACCAAATTTAAATTTTGAGGTTTAATTATTCAACATATGGTTTTGTTGGATTATTTTAGGCTTTTGGGACATTCGCGTGTGTTTGGTTATCAGTTTGGTGGGTCCGAGCATCTTCGGTTAATTTTTGTTTTTTGTTTTAAGAATAGATTTAGGAATTATTTAATAAACCATCGGGGCATCAATTCCACTTAATTTTATTTTCTAGTTCGTAATTTTGCTAATTTTATTTGCAAACATTTAATATTCCTCAATATTTTTTTCCAAGTTGAGGAAGGGGTGTGGTGATATAATCGCATTTTTCATCCACTCTTTTCTATATTTTCTATATTATTCTTTTCCTCTGCTTTAATCTGTATTCTAGTCCATCGTCCCATTGTCCATTTCTTTATTATCAAAAAAGGGTAGCTTATTATTGTGATACCTTTTCCTTAATAATAATTTGCTACGTTTTATTTTATCCATTGTTCATCAATAGTCCTAATAATCTTTCATAGTCCTATAACATAATTGGAGTTGACTATTGAATCATCACTGGCTTTTTTTTTGTTATTTTTGGTTTACAGTTCATTTTTATAGTTGACGAAACCAGTCTCGGTTAATGGATGCATGCGGCAGTGTTACATAGATTCGAGTTATGAAAATCTTGGTGTGATTGCAGATGATGTTAAAGCTCGACGGAAAAAACTCAATCTTTTCTGCACAGATTCCTCATAAAATGCTGATATGTACTGCTAATGCTGAAATGCTGATCATTTCGAGGAATCGGTGAGAGAAAATGTTTAGTATAATATAATATAATATAATGATTGTAAAATATAATATTTTCTATGAAATTATATTAATTTCCGACGAGTCTTTTTCATTAATAAACTAATCTTCAAGCATTTCAGTTAACTAACATTTATTTAACCCATACGGTTCTATTTTCCTTTCAGTCTGAGTGGTTTTCAGTTTTAAAAATTATTTTCTTGCGAATTGCTAGGTTTCTTTATATTGTGTATATTGCAGTGAAGATGGCTTAAAATTCAGTGTTCTGTAGTTATCAAGAAAATAGTTTTATATTTGTTCTCCGATTCGACATAATTCATGTTGTTTTGAAGCATCATACGTTCATTGCTCAGATTTAGCTTTCTTTGAAACAATAAGCACTTTTTCTTACAATAATTTTTTGATAAAATTGATTGTAATTCTTAAGATATAACTTAAGCTTTTATGAAAATTGAAAAATGTGAAATTTTTTTCGTTGCTTTATGTTTACATTTTGTTTGGCAATAAAAGATATTTTGTTCTATTGCAATTGAGAACTATAATGAATTGAATTCAATGCGAAATATATTCATAAAGGAATTTTATAATTAAATTTTAATGATGTGAATTACACGTGGTAGGAATTTATTGAATAGTCGAATTAATGCTGCTTAACATTTTTTTTTTCCAGCATCATTGATCATTTCCTATTTGGCTGACTGCACTGGTCATTGGGATGAGAGTGTTTAGCCATAAAGATAGTCATTCGTGATGGCGCAGCCAAGATTTCGCTTTTATTGCCTCTGAGGAACGCTGATAAGGTCTTTGATTCTTTCGACTATAATCGAAGCAATACGCATTCGATTCTATAAAATGAATAATTTTTGGATTTTCAGTTGAAAATAACTCCTTAAAAATGCTTATTAGAGGTACAATTATCAGACAATATTGTTTCTTGTCTGCTGCTAATAATGGAGTTCGAGTTCGATTCGCTCCTTCTCCAACTGGCAGTCTTCATCTTGGGAGCTTAAGAACTGCTCTATATAATTATTTATTCGCTAAAGCTAACAAAGGAAAGTTTATTTTGAGGATAGAAGATACTGATCGTGAAAGATGCAAACCAGAATACCCAGAAGAGGTACATCATTCCTTCATCTTCTGCTCCAAAATTTTGGATTGTGGAATTATCTTTATATAATTAATGTAATATAATATACAGTTTTTACAAATTACAATTCAAATATTGATTTAGATATGTTGGTTATTTAATTTATAGCGACACTGGCTTGAGAAACTAAGATAGTACGATCAAGAAATTGGCGAAAAAAGATAGGTGAAAGAGTGGAAATTTAGTGGTTTTATAGTACATTAACAAAAACTTATGATCAATATTTTAATACTGGGACTTGTTAATTTGAAGATATGTTGACAATGGGTAAAGTGGATAAACCGATAAATGAATATTGTAGAGCCGTTGAAGTTACTGAGGAAATTGGATTATGGTCATAAATAATTGCTTACTGGAGATTTTTGGAGATGCAAAAACATTTGGAATTATTTATCATTTCATTTGGATTACAAATGGTTAAGGAATGATTGGACTGAGTATAATTGAATTTCAATTTAAAAGGAAAAGGAAACTGATTATAAGAATGAAAAAAAAGACGAAAAGTAAAACCTCTCGTGACAAAGTTGCTGTGTATTTGAAGATTGGATTCTTTACTTGTTGAAATAAATTAATATGAAAAAATCGGGAAGAAGAGAATAAAGGAAGAATAAAGGACAGAGTTCTGAAATGTGCTTTTCTTGGCGGCTATGGTTGAGGTAACCGAAGGCAGCTTTAAAAATTTGGTATATATTATTGAAAGCCATCGTGGGCTTTATATTTTCAGGTTTTATCCTGAAATTATTTTTATTTGAATTGAATTTCATTAGAGATTGAGGTATTCAATTCCAATAAGTATAAATATAAATATATAATATAATTTTTAATTATGGTACTAGAATTTTTAAAATTTTAAAATTTAGTATGACAGAATCCTCAAACGCTATGGTTTTTCATGCGATGAAAGTCCATTTATTGGTGGACCTTATGGTCCATATTTTCAGTCACAGCGTCGAAATTTATATTTAGAAGAAGCTAAAAAATTAATGGATAGTGGAATGGCCTATCGATGTTTTTGTAGTCCGGAGGTATATTTAGAATTATGGTTTCAATCTGATAGAAATGATCTAAGTCGAAGAAAGATTAAATCTTTCGTAAGAAAAACATTTATTTCTGATATTTTTTTGTAAAATTGCCGGTGATTTTTTGAATAAAATGCTAAAAATTATAAATAAAATAAATTTGATTAGTTATTATTAGCTTATTTTGAATTCTTCAAAAATATGTGAATATTTAATTCTATTGGCTAGAAATTTTTTCCAGATTTTGTTTCAGTTTTTTTCAGTTTCAGTTTGTTTCAGTTTTCAGTTTTTCAATTTTCTTTTTAATTTAATTTAATTTAATTTAGTTTGTCGTATTGCATTGAATATGTTATAAGTGATGCTATAAAATGATCTTCAATCGGCGTTAATTAGGCCTATTTCTTTTTTTTTAAACTAATAATATTTGATTTTACTAAAATTATTTAAAATTAAGTTTAAAAAATTTAAGAGATTAGAAATGGTGCGGAAAGATGCTTTAAGGCGAGGTGCAATTGCAATGTACGATAATCATTGTCGAAATTTGACTTATACTGAGGTTGAAGACAAATTGAAAAAGGGTTTACCACATGTAATTCGTTTCAAACTCGATCTGGATGATGTTGTTTTTTACGTAAGTTTTTGTCGCTGATCTTGACGTGCTAACTATTTTATTTCAAGCAATATAATCTTATCATATAATTATATTTTTCCAGGACCAGACCTTTGGAGAAATATCGCACCAGATTAGTGAGGGAGATTTTATCATTATAAAATCCGATTCCTATCCAACATACCACATGGCGAATGTTGTTGATGATCGTGCAATGTGTATTAGTCATGTAATACGTGGTATGGAGTGGATCTCTTCTACAGCGAAACATTTAAAGTTATATAAGTTAATATTCAAATATTTAATATTTTATTATTTGTATTTTTTAAATTCATATTTGATATTTTGTACCATTTAGTTGGCGAAAGAAAATTAATTCTATTCAAAGGCTTAATGATCTTTCAAAGTGGAACATACTATCTCAATAATTTAATGGAACTTAGCCCAAATTGATTTCATTTTTTTCCATTATTATACCTTTAGGGCATTTGGTTGGTCTCCTCCTGAATGGATTCACTTGCCACTTATTTTAAAAACTAACAATAAAAAGCTCTCGAAAAGGGATGAGGTCAGTTTAAATTTTTTTGCATGTAAATTCGCAAATATGTATTCAAAATATATTAAAGTTATCAGATCGTCTAAATAAAAAAATACCGTTAATTATTCGATTTCTGTAGGTTATAATTTTAAATTATAGAGCGCATTTGTAAAATATTACGATGAAAAAAAAGGTTATTTGCCAGTCGCTGTTCTTAATTTTTTAATTCGCAATGGCAGTGGAATAAAGGATTTCGATTCTGATCATCTTTACTCTTTAGAAGAAATGATCGAAAATTTCAGCGTTGAATCGATTGGAAAGAGAAATCTTTTGGTAAAATTAAAAATTTAGCAAAGTGCTGATTAAAATAATGATTTTACACTATATTTTGCATCCAGTTGAAAACCTTTCTTATCTATTTATGGAATATCATTAGAAATTTTTTCCTGAAGAATAGATTATTCGAGAAGCTTAGTGATGAAGGAACAGAAAGAATAAGTGGCAAAAACAAGGCCTTTTGCTAGGCCTTTTGTTTTTCATTCAGATAATCGATAAATGTCAAAACTTCTTGATAATAGCTAATGTATATTCGTATTTGATCATAATTTTATATTCACAGAAACAACTGGAAAAGTTTTTAACCTTTTTTCCGTTTTTATGGTTTTTTATCCTTTATAAAAATTATAAATTGTTTTCACTGTTTCTCAATTCTTTTTCATTAATTTCAATTAATTTTAGATGGATAATACGGTATTGAACAAATATGGAAGTTTAGCATTTCGAAATGTTGGTGTAAAAGAAATTTTATTACCAGAATTACAAAAATACCTTTGTAAATCACAGATGGATACTTCATTTGATTTAATCCATGATGAAAGTTACATTGAAAAAATTATTAATTTTTTACGCCTTAATGAAGAATCGTTTGCTTGTTTTTCTCAATTAACTGATGGTGATTTCAAATTTTTTTTCTCTATTCCACAATCGTGTGAAAGAATCCTACAAAACTTTTCCACAAATTTAGTTTCAATGATTTTAAGCGATTTAAATGAATTAAAAGATTTGAATTTAATGGAACTGAAGAAAATCGCTGATAAATACGGATTAACTCATAGTAAAATAATGCATTTAATGCGATTAACACTTATTGATAATCAATCCGGCCCGCCTATAAAAGAATTGTTTGATTTTTTTGGTAATGAATTATGTCACGAACGTATAAAAAAAATGATTTCTTTGATAAAGAATGTCTAAATGAATGGTTTAACTTCGTACTTTTAATAAATTTTTGGGGATTTCTTGTTTTTGGGAAATCACATGGAGGAATGAAGACATAGGTTGTTTATTTTTTTTGCATCCTCGCAGTTGTTTAATGTTTTTTATTTCATAAATGAATAAATGATCGTTTTATGATCTACAATTTTGTAAGCGGTCGACTCTTCCAACAGCCCTGTTATGATATTTAAAAAATGTAATGATTATTGATAATTAGAATTTCTGCTTCAAGTTTTCTTTTGAAATTTTTGAATTTTTCAAAATTTTTCCATATCCTCGTATATATCCTCGTCTTAAACAGGAATGAATCTATTGTATCAAAAATTTGGGTGGTTGTGTCGACCCATGTATTACTCTATCCCTCAGTCTGTGATGAAAGGGTTTGATATTCTTGACATGGTATCTACGTCCTCCGGTGCTCGTAATATCTTAACGTCCGATGGTACATGCGATAAGTATACAATCTAGGCATCAAACGATCCTAAGGCTTGTAAATAAAATATGTTCGTAAGCTAAGGCAATTGCTCGAAATCTCTATCAAGAAAAAAATTCTGCAGTGAAATAGCGTGGATATCAAAACTTATAGACGCTAATGTACGCTGCAAGTCAAGCAACCACTGTCCATACTCTTTCTAAATATCGTGGATATTGCTTGCTTGTCGGAGGTCCATCTTCCTCATGTCGGTTCTCGAGTAACTATTAAATTTTCCGAGCAAAGATATTTGCTATATCACTATGGTGTCTCGCGGAGAAATGGCATAACGATTGTCATGTCTGAAGAAGCTCGATTCGACACTCTAATTGAATAGAAACTGGTAAATAACTATATGACCTACGCGAGTTTCAAAAGAAAGTTCTGCAATATCTCGGTTATCAATGTATATGCTCCAATTTTGTCTGTAGATGACAGTGATAAGGATAAATTCTACGCGGAACTTCAGCTGCAAAAAATATCTCTGTCGAAATATGCCATGGTCATAATCGTAAAAGACTGGAACGCACTCGTTGGTCATGATGTCGCTAAAGAACTCAAAATTTGGCAAATATGGCATTGGAAACCTGTGCACCAATCAGCCTTCGCTTTGCCAAAGAGCATGAACTTTTTGTCAGTAATGCATGCGTCATCGTGGAAGATAGTAATCTCATAGAACTACTCGGTTAACCAACTCAACCAAATTAATTATATGTTAATTAGTTATCACTGGAAGAGTTCCATAGATAATCGTTCCTATCGCGGCACTGAAACGGGCAACTTTCATGGATTGATCATGGTTCAAGTCAACATCAGCATAAAACTCGCAAGAAACAGCATCCCTCAAGATCCTTCAACTATCTCAAACTAAAAAACTCGGGAATAGTGCATTTCAAACCGAATCATTGAAGCACCTTAATGATATAAATATGACTGTTAATGATTTTTCTGGAACGGCAAATGAATACTGATCAAAATTAAAGGAATGTCTCTAAAAGTCAGCCACTCCCACGCTAGGGGATACTAGTAGGAAATGTGCTATTTGGACATCGGACAATTATCCAACTGTCTGAAAATGCCAAAGTACGAATCCTGACTACCGAAATTCGAAGAATTACAACGACACCAGCTTTACATGATAAAAATCAGTGAAATGAATCAGGTACAGGATGGCAATGGTGTGCATGTTAAGAGTATTAAGATGCCTCATAAGATGGAAGGAATAAGATGGAAAAAGAGATCAAATATGCGTCATCTTCTGCCTCGAACATAGCTAATTCGCTTGTAGAACCATATGTTTGCAATTGCGAACTGCTAGCAAAAAAGGAAATAAGGATCTCCATTATGCTTAAGGCTAATAAAAGTCCGGAGAACACTGTCTCCAAGCTGAGCTCTTCAAGTGTTGTCCATCGTCCTTCCTAATGCCCCTTGAATGAATTACGCCCTGGTATATAAGAAAAAAATAATAGTAGATGACGACTGCAGCAAAATGATTCCACTCCCAATTCTTAATAAAAGTGACAGGACATATGGTGGTAATTATCGAGGAATCAGCCAACTCATCTCACCGAAAATTTTTATTTCCCTTTTATTATGCTTATGACAGTATGGGACATCAGGATGTGCAGTAATAAAGCTGGATTCAAGCCGGCACGTGGTTGTGCTGACTAGATATCCACGTTAAGGATATTCGAACATCACTTCAAATATTGTCACCACTGTTTCATCGATCTTGCAGCTGCCTTTGATTTAATTGATAGAATTGATTTAATTGAATAACGCTTTCGAAGTTTATGGAGTGTAATGGTGTTCCAGAGAAGATCATCCTGCTTATAAAGACATTTGACGAGCGAAAGACTCCGTACATTACTCAACTGTTTATAGACTGGATAATGGACATCGCTTGTCGGCATTTAAGAGGTGGGCAAATCAGTCCAGATCATAGTATCTTGAATACGCGGATGATGTAGCCGACAATTATGATAAGATGCAAATAATGCAAAACAATGTGTCGACAACAGCAGCGAGAACCTCAGGATCAATGTAAATAGAACGAAAGTCTTATATACAAGAAGCTGATAAAATGCCTATTTTTATCAATTTATCGCTGGTTGAAGAAGTGCCAGACTTTAAATACGTGCTGTCACGAAATCAAAACGAAAGTCCAAGACCATATTGCAATTCGCTTGATTTTACAATATCGTTGCGAGACATTGCAGAAAAAAGTGGAAGAATAAGAAGTTATTTTCTTACTTTGACTACTTGTGTCTAAGATATATTTTACTGGCTCGCTGGACAAATCTCACATGGCTGTATTTTACTTCGTTACCACCTGCATTAATACTATTGTGAAAATAGATTAATAATATTTGAAAGCAATGTGATTTTGCTCGCCTGCCACGCATTATTTATTTTAGAATAATCTTGACCCGGCTGCTTTATCAGAACAGTAGAATAAGCACCGATCACGCACGTATAAATAAAACTTTCATTCGCCACCTCAAACCTGGGTAATTAAACCTCAGTAATACAAGTGCTAAAAATAACTATCTCAGAACAAATGAAATGATTAAATAAAAAATTAAATAACAAAGTATTTTAAATATTGAGATATTGGGACTCAACAGCTCGGGTCCCTTGATGGCACCAAAATAAAAAAGAACAATTTTCTTGAGAAGTATATACACTATAAATCTTTATCTCTTTTATTGACATAATTGAAAATAAGAATTAATGAGTTAATGAAAGGCTTTATTTGGAGGGTCGGGCACCAATTTGAAATAATAAATTTTAAATAGTAAAAAACATCGATTTCCGCGACAACTACCATCATAGAGCGCCGCCTTCGCTGGTTAGGGAACGTTCTTCGCCACACTGCAAGATGGCACATATTTCGTTACTTGCTAAGTCCTATGATGAATGACGTCAAAAGAGGGCGAGGAGGGCCAACCAAGGCATGGACTGATAAAGTCAAGAAAGATTTTAAATATGTAAATGGACAAGCAATATGTGGACTTAGACGGTGAAAAAAGATTGGCTTCTATTATTATCAGTGTTGACGCCGACCGAACAGCTTGTCGCTTTTTGCTCTCCTAGCCAGCGAAGCCAGCATAACCAGCAATGGTAGGAGCCGCTAGAAGAACAAATTTGACGTGCAGAAATTTATTGTTATAAAACGAATGAGCATAAAGTGATACGTGGATGGTAATTAGAATAATGTGATTTTAAAAATTTTAATTTAAACATTAAAATATTCTGCTGAAAGAATATAGGGGATAATGCAGGGGGAAAATGAGAAAAATATGCGAGGCACACGCATCGGCCGTCGACGCCCGTCAAACCGAAAATCTTTATGTCGTGCGGATGTGTGCGGTTTGTGACTCGTAGTCACGCGTAGTCACTGAGCTCGTAATTAACGTACGTGCATAAAATCAACTCCTTACAAATTCCTCTTCTGGTTTTCGACTTGGATGGCTCGGCTAGTTGGTCCTATTAAAGCTGCGCTAGGCCGCGATTTTAATGAAAAGGTTGTTATTGGCATTTTGCCAATTCTGTTAAAAATTTACACGTAATTCTGAGACTTTTCTATTTTTCATTACTTTTTTATTCGTTTTCGTAGAATTAAGTTTTATCGTGAAAATTATAAATATTTGGTGAATTAGAGATGGGCGAATTGATTGTTTGTGGCAATCGACCTATTTTAAGAGTATTTGCAAATAGGTTTGTTAAAAATTCATTCTATGGTACCGGCTTATTCGGCAGGTTATCCAGTGGTACCGGCTTTCTTTTTTCTCCTGGTTCTTAATATTTTCCTCATCGACATTCTATTTTTGATTATTTTTGATTTTAGCGAATTGTTGTCTTATTTTCTTCTAATCATTGCTCATGCTAATCCTCATTAATTTTTATTCATCAATGTATTTCTTCTTTCTAGTGCTCAGAGATGAATCAGTGGGCAGATAACGCAGAAGTTTGCAAGATTTTTTCCTCAACAGGTGCCAGTTTCCTCATTCGTCATTCCATAGTTTTCTATTTGTCTATTTCCTATGTTTTAAAAGAATTTCTTGCATTTATGTGAAGCAAGTTTAAATATAACTCCTATTAAAACATTAAGGGATTTACAATGATCTTTGTCCCTCACTGAATTTGTTTCTAAGGTAAGTTCATTTATTTACCGAAGTTCTTGAATTGTTGATTTTTTATTTATTTATTTATTTTTCTATTAATTAATTAATATTCATTTCAGTTGTATTTACTTAATATTAATATTAATTTGTGAAATCGCATGAAATCAGTTTTTCATTCTTCTGTGTTTTCATTATTTGCTTATTCTTTACTTATAAATCATTCATTGCTTATTAAAGGCACAAATAATGTAAAAAGATTTAGAAAGATGTTTTAAGTGGAAAAAATAAGGATCAGTGTGTACTGAAACATATTTCTTTCGATCTTTATTATCTTAATATGACCATATTTTTTGCATTTATGTGCATTTATTTTTCATATATTCGATTAATTGATTCTGCTACAGAATCGATATTTGCCAAATTGCATAAAAAACTGTTTTTGAAAACGATTTTATTTGTTCAATCATTCATTAAAGGCGATTTTTTGGATAGGAAATGCGAATAAAACTAGTTTTGGCTAATTTAGTAATTCATATTTGCTATTTCATCATTTATTTTTTGCATCTTTGAGGCGAATTTCATTTGCAGTTCTATTGTTCATTTAATTTTTGTTTTCGCTTTTTATTCGCCGTTTTTTTGTTATTTGCTTAAAAATCAAATTTCGATTATAAAAAATCGAAAGAATACGCCGCTATAAAAGTTGCAATTTCTGATAGCAAAAAATCTAGTACCATCCATAAATCTTTTCAGGTAATTGTAGTGATCATGAAGTTCCGATAATTAGCGGCAGTTAGTTTTTTGTTGGAACTTCAAATCATCATACTTGAATATGTGCGCAACGCTGTATATCATTATGTCGAGGCAGCATATATGTTATTTATTTTCTAATTTCTTGTGGAAAACATATTTTTTCCTTCTTTGTGCTATTTTGGTCGATTGCCTTACCCTTGGTTATAACATAGATAAAAAAATTTTAAGGTAATTTAATTAGTTATCAAGTTTTCAAATAGTAATAATTTCGACTGGAATTCGGTAATTTGTTGTCGCTTCGTAACATAATCATAACTAAATATAACTATTGATTTTTAACAAGACTGGTAAAAGCAAATTTCTGAAAGTAATTGTGCTGGTTTAACGAAATAATTTTCATCGTTTATCATTTTTTGCTTGGCTAGCACCGCTGATTGTTAAAACCAGGGATCACTTGGTGATAGAAGATCAGGTAGGTTGGCATTCGGATATTTTAATGGTAAGTTCACTTCTCTCGTGGATAGAAACCGAATCTCTTTTTCAGTGCGATTCCCTGTTAATTTGGCTATCCTTCTAGTAAACTGCAGGATTTTTGTAAAATACAACACTTTGTTCAAGTATATGTTATAGGTCTAAATAAAATAAGCTAATTGGTATTCGAGTTAAATCAATTTATTAACTTTTTGTTTTAATAAAATTTTGAGTGTAATTTAAATAAATTTACACTTTGCTTTAATAGTTTTATGGATATTTAATGTTTTAATGGATATTTAATGTTTTATGATTAATGGTAAGAATTTCAGGATACAAGCGAAAGAAATGTTTATGCATGGTTATAATTCTTATTTGAAATTTGCATATCCTCATGACGAATTAATGCCATTAAGTTGTAAAGGTCGTATTAGAGGCGTAACTCCTAATCGTGGAGATGTGGATGATGCCCTTGGAAAGTTAGTTTATTACTTTTGTAATCGAGAAATTTGAATTGAGTTCAAGTCTTATTACATTTAGCTGAGCAGGTTCGATTTTCTTATATAAAAATTACATATTACTTTGGGCTTTAAAATTTTTTAGGTAAAATGGATGAATCTTGTGTTAAGATAATAAATCTGATTTTTTGCTGGTAAATTCAAAATCTTCTTCTTCTTCTAACAGCTCTCACCATTACTTGGTTAGGATGCCTTCAACGGCTACAAGGATAAGAAGACGCTTCTAAATGCTGCGGTCTGATGCATCGTTGACAGTAATAGAAGCCATTCCTTTTTCCATCTAAGTGTCTAAGTCCATATATTGCTGGTCCATCTATACGTTCAGAATCGAATCTTTTCTGACCGTATCAGTCCAGGTCTTGATTGGACACGGTTTAGCAAGTAACGAAATATGCGACAACTCTTGTGGTGGACGACGGAGAACGTGCCCTAACCATCGAAAGCAACGCTCTGTGACAACATTATAAATACAGATGGTGTTTGAACGAAAGTGGATGCGATATTTTATCCGCTCGGTGGACCCGTAAAATATACCTTAGACAAGAGTGGTCAAAGGCAGATAACTTCTTAATATCCTCCACTCTCACTGGCCATATCTCAGAACCATATAGCTAGATCGAACAAATCAATCTCAGAACCATATAGCAAGATCGAACGGCTATATAGATGCGGACTTTTGTTTTAATGGTAATTTCACGACGGCTCCATAAAAGTTTCGTCAATCGGAAGAACACATTTCTAGCTGCCGTCATTCTGATTAATATCGTCTTTTGCCTGACCATTCGGTAATAGAGTGGACCCAAGGTATTTAAAATCGTGCATTTCCTCAACCCGCAATGAATAGTAAATTCAAAATAAAATAAGGGAATTATAAACAGCTTTGTTTTCTTCGTAAATTTTTACTTTTTCAATATATATATATATATTTATTTATTTATTTATGAAAATTTTTAGTTTATTGTAATTGTGCTAAAATTTTAGCTTTTCATTAACATTAGTCGATGCGCTAGATACTTTGGTTGTTGTTGGTGAATTAGACGAATTCGAAAGGGTTGTTAAATTAATTGTTGATAATGTACGATTCGATTCAGATTTAGTTGTTTCTGTATTCGAGACAAATATTCGTATGGTTGGAGGCTTATTATCGGGTAAAATATTTTTTAATTTTTTTTATCGCATCGGTCGAATGCATTTCCAAAATAACTTTTTTTTTATCATAAATTTGTTTTTTATCTAAAATTTTTAATAGCTATTTTTCATATTTACAGCGCATATTCTTTCCAAACTTGTAAAATCGAAAGAAACTCATCGCTTATTATGGTACAACGATCATCTACTGAAAATGGCAACCGAAGTTGCCGATCGATTATTACCTGCCTTTAATACCACGAGTGGCTTACCGTATTCACGGGTAATTTTTTTCAACAATTGGCAAAGCCTAGTTGTTTGTATGTTATTTTTGAGAAATTTTATGTATTTGTTTATTTCTTTAAAAATAACCAAGTAAGGGCGCCAGGTGCTTATATTAATTACATATGAAATGTTTCCTGGAACTAAAGAATATCGATATAAAATAAAAGGTAATATGATTAGAAACTAAAATAATTGAAAAGAAATAGAATAACAAATAGAATTAGAATTAGAATTAGAATTTTTTATTATGGAATTCATATAGCACGAATTCGAACTTATTGTAGAAATGAATCATTTATGTTATCTTTTTTTCTATGCTTTAACGGTATTTTTATTTGAAGGTGAATTTGCGATATGGTATGTCAGATTATCTAAAACAACATGGTGATACTTGCACAGCTTGTGGTGGGACAATGATCCTCGAATTTGCAGCACTGAGTCGATTAACAGGCCGTTCTGTTTATGAAGAAAAAGCTCGAAAAGCTATGGACTTTTTATGGGCACAGCGCCATCGTGGCAGTGGTTTAATGGGGACTGTGCTGAATGTTCATTCTGGTAACTGGATACGTCGAGGTTAGCGTTTCCTTAAAATTATTATCATTAAAATCATTAAAAAAATGAGAAAACAATTCGGTTTCGGTAACTACCGATCTTTGATTTTTTAGAGTGCATCATGATCTAATGGAAACAAAATTTTTTAATTTTATAGGCTATTTTTCTAGGGTTCTTTTCGCAATATTTAAATTTATATTTTAGATGCCGGGGTTGGTGCTGGAATTGATTCTTATTATGAATATTGCCTCAAAACTTACATTCTTCTGGGTGATGATGACTATCTTAATCGCTTCAATACCGTTAGTTATTTTATATGATTTAGAATCTATAAGAAAAAAAATTTAAATCATTTTTTTCATATTTTTATTGTAGCGAATAAAATAAAATAGTAATGTTAATGATAAATTTTTTGTTCTAAACTTTTTATTTTCGTCGACATTTTTTAAATTCAGTTATACTGACGTTGAATATGACATGATATTTGCATTTGCATTAATTTTTATATTTTTAGCATTATGATGCAATAATGAGATACGTGAACAAGGGACCTTTGTTTATAGATGTACATATGCACAAGCCAACAGTTGCATCTCGTAACTATATGGATGCTTTGCTTGCATTTTGGCCAGGTTTACAAGTTCTTAAAGGTGATTTGAAATCTGCTATCGAATCTCATGAGATGCTTTACCAAGTGATTAAGGTAAATCATAAAATGCCATATTTTATTGAAACTTAAATTCTAATTATCAATAGTTTTTCCCAAATTTAAACCTTTTATATTCATTAGTTTAAAAAACATTTAACTTTGATTTGAGTAGACTGTGGATTTGAAATACCATATTTTTTCAGCGACATCATTTTTTGCCTGAAGCATTTACGCACGATTTACAAGTGCATTGGGCGCAGCATCATATTCGACCGGAATTCATCGAAAGCACTTATCTTCTTTATAGAGCGACGAAAGATCCTTATTACCTAAGAGTTGCGAAAAGAGTACTTTTTATCTATGTTATTTTATTCTCTTTAAATATATTTTTGTTATTAACTTTTTTATTTTATTTTTTCTACTTATATTTAATTTTTGTATTTTATTACATGAATTCAAATATTTAAGTTTCTTTGCGATTTTTCTTTACTTTTTTTATTTAAATTGTTTTTTTAATGTATTTTTATTTAAAGGTGAATTTGCGATATGGTATGTCAGATTATTTAAAACAACATGGTAGCACTTTTCATTTTCTGATTTATTTAGGTAATGGATAGTATAAATGAATTTCTTCGAGTAGACTGTGGATTTGCTGCAATTAAAGATATCAGGTCTATGACCCATGATGATCGGTTGGTTTTTTCTATTCTTCTTATTCGATTCAATATTCTCCAAATATTCGATTCTCTCTTAATATTTGACTTCATAGAATATTAAAAGATAAAAATTTTGCTGTATTCAATAAATTTATAAAATTTTTGAGACTGTTCTAGCAAGAAGAAGTATTTATTCGCAAGTACAGTTATTTTCTGAAATTTTTTTTGAAATAAAAATTTTCTGTGAATTTCATATTTGTATTGTATTCTCTGATTATTTTGTTTTATTCTTTATAATTTGTTTTATCAAGAAGTATTTCATAAAAAAATAGTTTTTCTGACGAATTATTCATTTTAAAATTTTTGTAAAAAATTTTGTCTTGACAGTTTATATCATATTGAGCTGATTTCAGGATGGATTCCTTCGTTCTTTCGGAAACATTAAAGTATCTTTATATGATTTATGCTGAATCCTCAGAAATGATTTTGGATCCAGATGATTATGTTTTAACTACCGAAGCGCATTTTTTACCATTGAATATTGGAGATGCTGGTACTGAAGAGGTGTTTTTATTTATTATTCTTTTAATTTCCTTCTTATTTTATGAGTTTTTTTTAACATTTAGATTTGTTAATAATTTAGCTTTCTCATCGTATTTTAATTGATCGAAGTGAAATTATCGAAGAATTTGATGGCACAAATGATAAAGAATATCGATCTGCATGTCCAAATATTCCATATCAGGCATCATCTGAGTTTACCACCTATGCCCATTTGTTAAGAACGAATGTACAGAATGTTGTAGAAGAAATTACTAAATTTGCCTCTGATTCTGCAACTTGCAGTGATACACCGTAAGTGTATTGAAATTTTCATTTATTTTATCGACTTGGATTAGATTTTTTTGTAATTTATTATTTCTAACTGAAAATTTTATAAATTTCCTTGAATTTTCAAATCTCTTATGTAAAATATAAAGTTTTAAAGTATATCCTTTGTTTTATCAGTTTTTGCACTCTTTTTGTTAGAATAAATTTATTATCAATGGAATAGTGAAGATGGAAAAAATAAACACATAGTCGTTTTTTAAAAGTTGAATCAGTTAAGGATTGAAGGCTTGCATCCTTGGACATTTAGTTCTTCAAATTCGGAACATTTGTGGCAGTTGAAACAAATGGGCGTTCAACTGGAATTTCATTCTGATGGTCGTTTGCAGTTCGCTCATTCATCTGCAAATGTATGTTTTTCGCGTTTGGTTTTTTGTTTTTAATTTCTTGAATAACTGAATAATTTCACAGAAACAAAATAAAACAAAGAAGTGATCAAAATAATGGAATAATTGCATAGTATTTTTCTTTGATTCACTTAGCAATCAATAATTTGATTGCTGTTTTACCGTTTTCTAAATATTTATGTGATCATTTCGTCACGTTCCGCTCCGCTCAAGTTCTATGGAAATTCTGACTTTTTTCTGAGAATTATTGTTTCAGGGCGGAGCGGACGTCAGCTTTAAGCAGTGTTCGAAGCGAATGTCGTCGTCAAAAAAATCTTTTCGTCATCCATTTTATCTTATGTCTTCATCATATGCATCAGTTAGCCAAATGCTGTCATTGATAATGTTGATTCTTCTAGCATGGCTGGCACTTGTGATATTCACTGTTCTTTTAATTTGTGTTGCTACATTATTTTATCGAGTTACTTCCATCAGACGAAAAACACCTGCTCAGAATATTTCTGATAAGTCAAGAGGTTCTGAGGATGATGATGAATCTTTGAATAATCTTGCATTTGCTCATGAAAATTAATCGGAATAATTAATTTTTCATAATTTTTTGTGGCTCATTTTATTCAGCTTTTGTTTGTAATGTACATGCTTAAAATAGGTACAAAAGTTTCTTTATTTATTTTTATTTATTTTCATCATGCTGTGGTAAGCCGGGGGCGAGATTTATAAGCATATTGCTGTTATATTCGGAATTTACCATTTTTTCATTTAAGTGGTCTTATTGTGTTCTTTTAACACTGGTGAAATGTGCTATGATCATTAATTTTTTTATCAGTCTTATCATAGATCTTCTTATTATGGTGCATATTTTAATATCTTTAAACTTTAGCAACTAAAATTAGTTTATGCAAAATTATTATACAGTATTATATAATGAAATTACTTTATGCGGTTAATTTATTTATTAACTCAATATTTGATATTTTTATGTTTTATTTTCTGGAATATTTTTCCACTTTATAAAATTTGCAAATTATTTTTTCCAATTTTTTTTAAAATTTTGTTTCTTTCCAATGTTTGTGCCTTCTAACATTGAAAATTATCATTATTTTCTTGTTTTTTTTTTACCTTTCAATTATTTGCTATGTTACGCCATTAATAGGTACTACTAGTTTCTTTTTTACTCTTCTACATATGAAAAATAATATATATTGATATTTTCTTTAATGTTTATTTAAGTTTTCTCTTTTTTTTAACGAAAAATTGTTCTCTCAATTCAACAACTATAGATCGATGGCAGTCAAAAGCCGAATTAATGGATCTTTTCTTACGATCCTTTTCTTTCTTTTTAAAATTATTTTCCCATTTAATTTTTGATCTTCAGAATTAATTCTTTTTTTAATTGTTATATTGATCTATAATAAATGTGAGTCACTTCTTCATTAACTCAATGTTTTTTTTGAGTTTCATAGTTTTATGGGTCTTAAGTTTCGTCATTTTATTTTATACTGTTATAGGCAGCATCGCAAGATTGGTTAACACGTGGTGTGAAATTTATGCAAGAATTGGTGCAATATGCAAATCAAGAGCAAATACTGGGTATTTTTCATATGAACATATTTTAAGAATTTGCATGTTCACATCCTGAGAAATCCTGAGAAAAATGTATGTGGCATAATTAATGACGAAATTATGCAAATTTCATAAAGTTTAGAACCAAGGTACGAACATTTTGTTCAAGTCATTTCCCAGCCATCGTTCGGAACGCTCAAATTCGAGGCATCTCACGCACTTTTTGGAACGAATCTTGAAAACAAGCATGTATGTTTTCATATTTAATTTTCTGGATATAATTTTCGGTAATGATTTTTATTATTTCAAAATATTAATTATTATGCCCAAATTGATATTTTCTTTAATGTTTATTTAAGTTTTCTCTTTTTTTTAACGAAAAATTGTTCTCTCAATTCAACAACTATAGATCGATGGAGAAGTTAGAATCGCAAAGCCCTTACGCGGATGCAGTTTGTTGACTAATAAGCCTACAGTGAGAAACCGCATTGCTATCATGCAGCGAAAAGATTGTATGTTCCAAGAAAAAGCTAAATTTGCTCAAGAAGCTGGTGCTATCGCTCTCATTATTATAGGTTCTAACATTTTTCAAATTTCGTTTATCGTACTTGTGACCATCATTTTTTTCATTTCATTATCATTATGATATCATTTTTTTCTTATGGAACCAAAAAAAACATTGGAAATTCTTATCTTTTACTTTTATTTTTATTTTTATTCGATTGAATTTCAGAAGGAATTTTATATTTTAATTCTTCATGGTTCTTTTTTTGGGTTTATAATTATTTCATTTGCCTTTATTTTAGATGATACAATTGGCTCCAGTGCTAATTCATCGCCATCATTTGTGATGTCTGGTGCAAATGATTTTAATGATGATATAACAATACCGGTGGTGTTTCTATATAATCAGGAAGGTTCCCAGCTACTCGAACAGATCAGTCGATATCCAAATTTACTAATCAGAATTTCCAATCATCTCACAAATCCTCGATTTCTGTTTGAGAAATTCCTCGTAAAACAGGATTATTCATTAATATTTCCTTTGTTGCCTCCGGGTCCTATAGAGGTGTTTCATTTCATTTCATTTTTCGTATTTTTATTTATTCTTTGTAATTTCTACAAATAGAAAAGAATGAGCTTCATTTTTTGAAAAAATATCTCCCAGTTCATTTATAAGGCAAGCATAAGGCATTTCAGTCTTTGGACAATACAATGAATATAATCATAATCGATAGTTCATTACCGGCTTTACTTTTAAATTTCCGATTTGCTACAGTGAATGCGAGGAGCGATGATATTCACAAGCAGCAAGTAAGTCGTCTTTATTTTTTAAATTTTGTTTTGTGCAAGGAAATATTTGTCCTTATTATTTCTTATTAAAGAAAGATGAACGATTGGTCCACTATTTTCATATGAGTATTTTATTTATGTTCCACCTTTTAAATTTTTTTACTTCTCAATATTCGTTTTTCTTTATATTCGGAAAGTTTTCAAATATTTTTCGTTGTCTAATGAATCTATTTATTCAGATTGTTGAGGAAAATATTTCTTTGATGCAACAAATATACAGATTTTCAAAAGAAAACGATATGCTTGATTTTTATTCATTAGTGCGTCGCATTGCATATTCGGTGCTTGGTCTCAATACACTTCCAACTGAGAGAGAATTCTCTCAATTAGCCAAATTGCTTTCGAGAGTCATACGTTTAGATCACCGAATCGTTGAAGGTCGCATACCTACAGGTCCAATAACAACGATTTCTTGTTCATTTCTTACTGCTTTTACTTGTTATGGTGTATTTAGATAATATATAGATATTTCGGTCATTCGGTTATATTTATTCAAATTTTTGGGTAATTTTTTGGATTCTTCATTAGAGTTTCCGAAAGCAATGTGGATTTGCATAAATTAGGCGGTTGACACTATTATAATTTGGTTATATAAATTATTCATCAGATCGGTCGCTTCTTAAAATTGTATGGTAGTCATCGACTATAAAATTATATGATTTAGATGAATGGTTTGGCATGTAGGATCGTTGAAGCTCTTTGTATTTCGGTTATGTTTTTATGCTCATAATTCTTTTCTAGTCATTGCTTTGTGATAACCTCAATATTTTCCAAATTTCAGATTTATTTTTTCTTCTTTACACTTATTCTCCACTTATTTACTTATTTTCAAATTAAGTCCATGTTTTAATTCCCTGTTTTTGAAAAAGTATTATAATGGTTTTTTGACACCATCAACCAATTTTTTAATTTACTAGAAAAAAATTGTATCAATGTTTGCTCATATTCATTGATTGGAAAAACTTGGAAAAATTGAGATTTTTATATCATTTTATTTCAAATGTTTCTAAAATTTTCATTGGATTTATCCTGCATTCAACTTAAATTATGATAAATATGAAGTGATTGTTTGAGTTAAATCGTGCTTTTAATTTTAATTTTTAATTAATTATTAATTAAATCAGTGGAATCTTGGAACTTGTTTTTCCCAATCATAAGGGAATTCTTGAGTATTTGTGGACAAAAACGATTGTCTCATTAGTGAATAAATATGATTATATGGCGGCGTATCGTAATACTTGAGAGAATCAACTATTTGTAGAATTTGTCTCAATTCAGGCGCACAACCAGCCATTAGTTGCGTTAGTCCTGGCTCTGTACGGCATCGTTTCTTATATTCTCCAACCTGAAATCTCGAAATTTCTAAGAATTTTTTGGTGGGATTGGAAGTATTTGGTGGTAAATTCGACACTTATAAATATACTCGATATTGAATTAAATAGGGAAATCATTTATACTAAGGTGAAAGAAAAGATATATTTCAAAAATGGCATGTTGGAGTGATTATTAAATATTTAATTCAAGCACAAGCTGATAGAGCCTTCCTTGGAACCTTTTCTGTGGAATGCCCAGTCAGCTTGATAAATTATCAGAATAGCCGATGTCGAGTTTTTAATGGCTTCTAATAATTAGAATTTAAGTTTGCTGCAACTCTAGATTAATGCATAATGGTAAAAAGTGACGGCTTTATTGTGAACACCTCATTTATATCGGGGATATTTTTCCATGGTAGATTACCAGTGGTAAGTTCAATTTGCATATAAACCCATGATTCTACATCGTCTTTTCGAGAGAATTCACGCTGCAGATGACATGAAATTGGTGCATAACGTACGGTACCACGAAATCCAGCAGCAGCACGAGGCTTGCGAATAATATTCTGCAATCACAAAAAGAAATAGTGAGTTTTAATGCGTTTCACCTCGGTAAATGTATAAAGGAGGTTTAAAGTGAGTTTAAAGGAGGTTTAATCGCACATACCTGCTTGCTTGTGAATTTTCTGGACATTCCGAAGTCTAGTACGTAAATCTTGCGATGCTCCTTTATTTCCGGTCGACCTATTGCGTAATTACCAGGTTTGACATCTCTATGATGGATTAGAGATGAATATCTCATAGGTCAAACTCATCTTGCAAGTCAAAAATAAACATGAAAATTTTTAGAAATTTTAGGAAAACTGAAGAATCAATAACAATTCGCTGCATTACTAAGTTAAAATGTATAGTAGAGAATAGAGCAGTCCACCGATTTCCAATTTACAATTTTAATTTGTTCATTTCACCTATGCAAATATCCAACTGAATGAAGATCTTCCAATGCTTCTAACGCCTGAATTCCAATACCAAGAGCAGTTCCCATGGATAAGTGCTGCATAGGTTGCTCTTTTCTTAAATCCTATAATAAATTCTGAATGCACCAGTTGAATAGTATCAATTCGTTAAAGTTGCATTTATTATTATCATAATATATTTCATATATGTTACCCTTAAATTAGAAAAGTGATTCAACAGATTCCGGGAACAACATCAGAGATCTTGTCCAGAAGATGGCACTATTAGCAACAATTGAAATATTGAACCCTCGATTTCCCAGGCCTTTGGTAGAGGACTCGAGGTTGAGAGTGATTATGACCACCTATAAGGGTGTAAGAGTTTTCTTTATATCATATTATTGAGAAATATATACATCATTCCAAAAGTGTTAAGCAAGATATTTGTACGTCTTTAAAAAAAATAGTAGACGAAACTAATCAGTCACTTGGAACTTAGGCCAATAGCTATTTACTGAAAGTGATTAAAGGCCTCCAGCAATATCTTGGAGCTCGAATGTTAAATAATCAAATCTAAATAAACTTATCAAGCTATTTCTTAATAAAAAAACCAGGAATTGTTTAATACAATTTATAGGCCAATCTCATAGCTAAATTCCCTAATTATTATTGAAGTTCATACTTGAAGACTTCTGCCAACCAAAGTCATAACGACATAGTTGAAGGTTCCAAAACGACCTTTATCTTCAATCTTGCAGAAATGTCGATTATTTATTTTATTTAATTCCATTAGAACTGCGACTTCCATTTTAAGTAACTGCAAATTGCCCCACAGAATGATGATACACTGGCGAGGTAAGTAAGGGAAGGTAAGTAAATTATGAACAAATATTAGGAACAACCTGTATTCTTTCGTTTATTCCTTCTACCTTGAGTGCATACCTAGCACCTTTGTTATCCACAACCTGTAAAATTATAAAGTAACGAAAGGTTTTCGAAATAAAGAGAAATTTGCATTATACAAATGAATATCGTGAAGAATGGAAGTTAATTAGGTTTTTTTTAAGTTCGAACCATCAACTTCAACATTTACTTCAATATTACTAATCTATTTCTCACTTCATCGCTCTATAAAAAAGTGAATCAAACCTCAAATTGCAGACATATTTAACTAATTTTTACCATTTATTTTTAGAATGTGGAGAACAAAAGGAAAAGGAATAGAATTTGCTTAAGCCTAAGCCTGAAGTTTAGTTGTATCTAAAGTTATATCCAGTTGGCATTTCTACTCAGATCAATAATGATATGATGATGCAAACCACGTAGACTGTTCCAAAACCTCCTTCGCCAAGTTTCCTTTCAATTCGCCATCGGTCAATTATTTCACCTGGGTTCAACTGAACAAGTTGGAGTGCCATTATTAGTGGCTAAAATTACACCGGTGTTTCGATTTAATTAAAATGAAAATGTAAAATCTTTGAAAAGAGGAAATTTTTAATGCAAATTTCAAAAAAGAATTTTTGAATTCTTTTAATGACATAAATAAATAAATAAGTAATTAGTGCTATTATTTCAAATTAGATTCGCTCCACTAGCTGTTAGCATATGAAAATGAATTTTCTTCGAGGAGTCACTTAGGAGTATTCTTAGCACTGCGCTGATTGTTTAATGGCAAAAGTTGATTTTTTCATTTGCGGCGAAAATTTCTTGAAACTCTCGGAATGATAACCTAAATCAGAATTCCCCAAGCTGTACTCCGCAAAAATTTGTCTCCAATTTTATTTCTTGCAAGATTTTCTTTATGCGATTTGCATTTTTGCAGTAAAAATATAATATAGGAGTATATTTGGCGCTGCGGTGGCTTAAGATTCGACTAGCTGCTGATAACAAATAAGGTTGTTGATCAAAAGAATTTGTGATTTAAACGCTCACAGATACTTTAAAATAAATTGAAATTCTTTCTCATAGAAACTCATTAAAATCCTTTTCGTGAAACATTTTATTGTATTTTTATACTTGCGCCTGAGAAGACTGGAAGACGAACACTACACCATATTAGGTTTCACATTCTGTGATTGGTAAGCATGACATTGGCTATTCAGTATTTCAGTGGAGAAAACCTTCCTTACATTACTTTCTAAAATATGGTGATAAATCGTTATTTTAATGAAAGCCAATAAAAAGCACCTTACGTAGCATTGGACAAATATTAATTATAATATAAAAATATGATAAGACTAAGAATTACTTATGTTTGACAAAATCCAAAGAATCAGTGACAGTGTTTATTTAATGTCCTGTAAGGATATGGCAATACAAAAAAATTATTTGAACGTCAATTCTTCTATTGTTGTCGATACTTGCAAAAACGATTAAATACTTCCAGTAGTGGTGTGATTGATTGAAAAAAATTCTTCATTTTAGTCAATCTTCCAAAGGGGCATCGGTGAGTTATCTGCTTTACCTTAAATTATAACTTAGGTTTGTTTCCAGACAAAGATTTCGAAAATAATTTAATAATAAAATAAAAAGATTTCACTAAAATTTTGTGCAAAAAATTTGATGTTTCTGTGATATATAACTGAAAAATTCAAATTAATTGAAATTTATTATAAAAATTTAAAAATTGAAATTATAAAACCAAAAGTAATTTAATTTACACAGACTAATTAAACTAATTTACAAACTAATTTACATGTACTACTTAAAGAGTTAATTAATGAACGAAGATATTGCCATCAGACGGTATTACGAACTATTATAGTGGAACGGATGGTAGAGTGGTATGCTATTTTGACCATGATTTCATGGGTTCGAGTCTCTGTTCTTTAAAAAGAGCAAATCTTGTTATCAAAATCAAAATCTGAGTGATGCTGAGAATCTACCTATATATTTTCCTCCAAATGGCTCTTTGATAAAACATCTTCATCATTGGGTAAATGAAACTAGCTCGACCAAATCAAATATATGCTGGTAGAAGAAAGATAAGTTTAAAGATAGATACTCAAAGATAAATTTCCAGGCTGATCCCATTATAAATACTTATTCTGCATTATGGAATTTTTTAACTGAAATTGAAAACCGAATAAATAACCAAAATACACTAAAATGACAGTTGATGATTTATCAATGGGATTTGTTAATAGTAATTGCTTTAAACCTGAAAATCTTGCAATTTGAGCCATTTTTCCAGAGAAGTACTGGATAGCCAATGCATAAGCCATGCCAGTTTATTATGCACCTGATTTATCCAAAGCTAGTTATTTATCATTTATCAAAATATTGTGCACATGGAAAGGAAGTTTGTGGAAAAGTGTTTATATGGAAGCAGTAGTGTGGTTGGCATTGTACATCATACTTTCTTTGGTATACAGAATCGGTCTTAGCGATGAAAGCAAAAAGTATCTTTCAATTTCGTCTCCTTTTAGAAATAAAATTTTGTATTGGATTTTCAGCCAATCTTTATTTTTTCCTCAATTTCGATCATTAATTGCTCTTATTATTTTTTTCTTTTTCTTCTACAAATCCAAATCTCTATATCCATTGAATTCTTTTTCTTTTAACAGCTCTCACCATTACTGGTTAGGCTGGCTCTGCTGGCTAAGACGTCTCCAAGCTGCCCGGTCCGACGACATCGCTAGTAGTAATAGAAGCCATTCCTTCTTCCATCGTCTAAATCCATATATCGCTGGTCCCTCTATGTGTTCAAAATTTTTCCTGACTAATATCAATCCAGCTTTTGATTGGCCCACCTCGTTATTGACGCCATCCATCATGCGGTTTTGCGAGTAACGGAATGTGCTTCAACTCCTGTGGTGGACGAGAACGTACCCTAACCAGCGAAGGAGACGCTCTGTAATAACATTATTAATTCAGGTGGTATTTGAGTGAAGGTGGATACAATCATGTGCGATTTTACCTAATCCGTAGGATGTACCTTAGGCATGAGTGGTCAAAGGCTAATAGCTTCTCAACACTTTCTACTCTCATTGGCCATGTTTCACAGCCATATAGCAAAATCGAACGAATTGCAGCTATATGGACGCGGATTTTGTTTCTATGGTGATTTTGCGACGGTTCTTAAAGATTTCATCAACCGGAAAAACATTATTCTAGCTGCCATTATTTGGGTTACGATTTCATCCTTTGCCTGGCCATTTGGGACTAGAGCAAATTCAAGGTATTTAAAGTCTAGTACTTCTCAACCAGCAGAATTGATAAAATTAGGTATTTTCTCAGCATCTTGTAAGAGACGAAAATATTTTCGTCTTATTTACATTGATTTTGAGTTCATTTCTCGCTGCAGTTGTTAACACATTGTTTCACATATTTGCATTTCCTCATAAACGTCAGCAAAAAGGACTACACCATTAGCATATTTTAGATCTGTGATGCTATCTTCTGGACTGATTTACACACCTCTTGAGTGCTGACAAGCGATGCGCATTATTCAGTCTATCGCGTAGTTGAATATTGTGGAAGAAAGGATGCAGCCCTGATAGACACCAGTTTTTATTTCAAAGGAATCTTAGTTCCCCATATATACAGACTTGCGCCAGGGTATGCTGATAAAATGCAATGCATTTATGAGCTGAATGATCTTCTCTGGGACACCGTCACATTCCATTCCATCATTTTTCAGAGCACTGCTCTATCAACTGAATCGAAAATAACTGCAAAATAGATGGTGGGTTGCTGGTATTTGAAGCGATGTTCCAGCACCCTTCTTAGCGTAAATATATCTGGTCAACCATGTTCTGATCTGAATCCAGCTTGGTTAGGACATTCTGCTATCTCGTGTTGTCATGAGTCTATTTAGCAAAAGTGAAGCGAAAATTTTTCCAGAGATGTCCAATTAATGATTCCTCGGTAATTGTCGCAGTACGTCCTATCACTTTCTTAAGAATGGGAAACAAAATTGCTTTGCTTCAGTCTTCTGGTATTCTTTTTTTTGCCATACCAGAGAATATATTTGTTGAAGGTGAGTTATGAACAACTTTTGAACAGTTCGGCCCGAAGACCATCTTTTCCGGGGGTTTTATTAGCCTTAAGCTTATGGATTGCAGAAAGTATTTCCTCTTCTGTTGGCGGCTCACAATTGCGTAAGACTAGGCGGGCAAATCAATAATATTCGGGACAATAGATGGTGTAGTTAAGTTTGGCCTCAAAAAATTCTATTTTCTGAGGCGAAGATTGGATTGCTGAAAGTAAACAAAAAAAGTGATTTCAGCCTTAATTTTTTGAATCTTAAGCTTCAAAATTAAAAAAACTTAAAAGTTCATATATCTCCTTTATTTTCTTTCTTTCTCTCAATTTGAAAAAAATTTGTGATGAAATCTAAAACCCGGTGGATGCTGGGAATTCACCTATTTGAGGTGAAAGGGTTATCAAATTGTTTTTTTTTGTTTTTTATTAGATTATCTTTCTAATCATTTAGTTATTTGATCAGATTATCTTCTAAATCCACATTGATTATACGTGCCTTAAATATCTGAAATATCTGAACTGCATCTGGTAAAAGTCTTGATCAGAACAAAATGAACTGTGGAACCAATGCAAATGCTGGAAACTTGTTAGGATGAGGCTTTGACCGTAACTGAATGTTAGAATGCTTATAGGAGTCGAGGATAGGGGATAATATTTTATTCAAATGTCACGTAAACATAGCTTGTTTGTTGGAATTCTATCTTCTTTGGTCTCGAATAGTTATTGTGGCTAAGCGAGTGAGTGCAGAGATGCTAGTTGTATCATTATAACTCTTTAAATAATTTGGAATGGTTATTTCCAAATCTGAGAAGATTCGACTAGTTCTGACTGATTGCGTGAATGTCTGTTAATGACTTGATGGCATACGTTATTATAAATAAGTTTTGTATACCTCAGTCACCAGTGTTTATTTCCTCCTCTTTGGGCAGATGCACGTGACAAAGGTAGTTTATGAGACTAGAGGTGCGATGCCACCAATGGCAAATATGAAGAACTTTCTTCACTTTGCCACAGTTTTTGAAACAAAATTTTTGCTACCACTATTTACTTTTGGTATCGGACAAAGCATTTGGTTGCACTGAATTTGCCAAATAACTGGCACACCAAAAAGATTAATTATATTCAGCGATTATTTATTTTATTCTTAAGAATTTTTGTGAAAGTGGTGCGACACTGTCATGATCACGAAGGTTGGATTCCAGTGACATTTATGCTTGGTGCTTTTGTTACCATAGTTCTTCAACGATGGTGGTCTGTTGTAAGTAATATTGGATTTATCGATAAGTATGTCTTCGTATCTTAATACCAATCAACAAATTATATGAATTAATAAATGAGAAGTGCCTACATTTTAAAAAAAATTGATCGATCAAATCGCGGAAGTGACAAAATTGCATTCTGAACCAGTTTATAGTAGTGCATAGAATGATTTCTCTCACCTCCTATTTGATAAAAATTATATCTTTTCAAATTACTCTAACAGTAATAAGCAATATAAGCTGATAGTAATAAGCAAAAAAGCTGATCGGACTATTGTTGAAAAGATTAATTGACGAATCAGTCCGATCAGCAGATAATTAAATTCAATATGATTTTTAACCGATTATAGCTTAGCATTAATAATAACGAATTATACACGTGGTTCGGACGATCGGACGATTATGTTTAAACGAAATATGATCAGATACATGTGTCTAGTGCAGGCTATGGTATATAGGGCTATCAGTCCTAAAGTTAAGAGAAAATATCCAACTCTTGACAGTCTTGTGCAAGCAGGTATGCTAAAGAAATAAATAATATGATAGGCAAGCTTCAGTGCTCCGTTAATATCAGGTTTAATTCAAAATTTATGTAATTTTTGGCAAATTTGTGAGTAATATTTCGTCTGGATTAGGTAAGATAATCATCTATTTTTTCTGATATGTAGATTTATTTCAGGATATTTAGAACCAAATGAAGTATGTATGATTTCGGAGAACAATTTTTATCAGTCAGTATCATGGGCACTTGCCTTAGCTCGTTTGGCTAGAGATGAGAATATTATTAAATCGGACCAAGCACTTCAAGATATATTCCAGGTTTTACACAAAACTTTGATATTAAACTATAAATTGTAATAAAATTGTTAAAATGAAGTCAGATAGAAATCGTCCAATTTTTATAAATAAATTTAAACGAGCAAGATGCAAATCTTTGAGAGTGAACATATTTTGACCAATCAGCCAGGCACTTGTTACATTTATTTGTTCATTCACGAATAAACACCGAGTAAAACATTTAGTAGCTATTAGCTTGGAAAGTGATTTGAAATAATAAAAACGACGAAAAAGAGCGGAAACAAAAATTGGAATACTAAAATAGAAGAGGATGAACAAAAAAAAGAAAAATTTTTTCACCTTACCTTATTTCAATTTTTCTTTTTTTTTATTTACTTTTACTTTTTTACCTAAAATCTCCTTTATGCGTAGAGTAAAGCGATATTTCTCAAACTGTTTGGAAAAAGTGCGCAATCTCTCGCCGCCATAATTTTTAAACTAGTCGAAATCCTTATCATTTATCAATATTTTTAGCTAATTCTGATATTATTTACATATTGACGAGATATGGCCATTTGGAAAAGTACAAGCCAAATTATAAAATTTATATGCAGTCCGGACTGACATGACCAAATAAAGTTTTGCAAGAGCGCATCAGATTCTTCTATCTTATCCTTATCCTTCTAATTTTCAAGGAGCATTTATTATGCTGTTGCAGTTTGGTCTTATAACTAGTACGAGAATTAGGATTTAAATGGCGAATTTGATGCAACTTAAAGTATGTGGGAGTGCAACAAACAGCATTGTATTTTTAGAGCCTAACAAATGCCTTGCACATCAACAAAGAAGGTCATGTCAATTGACTATTATTAATTAATATAATATTCTTCGGATTTAGTCCTTAAAATAAGACGAATATTTTAGAAATATTTATATTATATTTATATTTATAAATATTTTATATTTTTTAACCTATTATAATGAACGAAATCCAAATTTTCGCTTCTTCCAAGATTTGACGATTAATAACTTTAGTAGGAAAAACAGAGAACTTCGAATATATAGAATTTTACAAAGATAGTTCGGTTCAATCATTTGACCATTTTTTAAATGCCATTTTGCAATATTTGTGAATTCTCAGAAAAATTTCCTTAAGAATAATATACATTACAGTCATATAAATATATTTCGCAATAATATAGTTAATATTAAAATAATAATTAATAATATAGTCAATTGACATGACCAAATTTTATAAGAGCACATCAGATCCTTTTTTATTATTACAAAGAAAGTTTGCCAGCGCAATTATACCTACCCAAATATCGAATTAATCAGAAAGCGCATTATTCACATGAACTTGCACGAATATATAAAAAATAAATCTACAGCAATATCAAAATTATTGATGACAACAACAACTTATTGCGCGGAAGCAAAGGCTTTGGCCAGACTGACAAACGCTCCACAACAATGTAGCAGCAAAGATTGGCCAATAATTGAGAGTGGATTCCCTTCCTAGAATCCATGTTAACGAGGAGAGATTAATTTCCTTCAAGCAATCATTTTAATGGAAATAAGGTGATTCTAATATTTTACTCCCTACGTTAAGTAATTAATAAGTAATATAATTAATCGGTCTAAAAGCATTGCATTTATTTATGTACTTATATTAAATATAGGAGTTTCCAAAATTTAAGTTATATATTGTTAGATTATAAGATAACACTAAAAATCAAACACAATGTGAAAGTAAGAGATAGTTTTTTAAAAACAATATTATCTGGTTCAGTATGCAAAGAAGTTTTCAATGGAATAAATGCATGATTAGCATCAATTAAGGAGATTTTAGCGTCGTTCAAAAAAAGAGCAAATTATGCGCAGAAATCTGAATAAAGATCATTGCGGTCATCTAAAAATAATTATTTATAATTATTTAATAATTATTTGGCTTAAGGAATTTGAGACGTGTTTCTCGATTAAACACAAATATTATTCTATGCCTCTTAGAATAAAGTTTAGGAAAAACTTTATTAGAAACTTTAAAAGTTTATAAAAACTTTTTGGTTAACATCATGAACGAAAACTCGTAGCCTAGTCTATGCAAATAACAGTGGGCGATCTGATCGTTTATACTGAAATTGCGATAACTTCTGTCGGAAAATACCGAAAGAATTTATTATAAAAAAAAACTGTTCTTGAACAAAGGGCTCTTCACAACGATGAGTCAATATTCAGCGCTTAATATTCAAATCGTACAAAAATTATCTTTTTTTCTTTCTTTATATAAAGATTCATTTTTCTATTAGCTAATTTGCAAAACACTACGAATTTTCGTTGGGAGCACGGCGATTCCCCTTCCAATATTCTGCCTTTACAAAAATTCGTTTTGGGAAAACTATCTTTTTTCTGTGTAAATTTACTTTTCTGCCACTCGAGACTTTTATTTCTTATTAATATTATTATAAACTCTGCGGCCAGCGTTCTACTTCTTACTTTTCTCGTTGCGAACCTCAAACTTGGGTAATTAAACCTTTATTAGTAAAGACGCAAATATATATAAGAAAGTTAAGCGAAGCAATTGCCCTACTACGAAGAATAATAATAAAAAAATCAAATATAAAATCTAAATGCCCATCACTCACCGACCGCTTCCCTACTCGTTTTTCCCTAATAGAAGCACAAAATGACCAAACTGATCTTTTGGGAGCTTATGTTTAATTTAAGATGGGCGGGAATCCGAATGACTTGGTCAAATTTACAGCTTTTTTCGCCATTCGGCGACAACCTTATTTACAAATTTTAGAACAGCTGTGAAACAGCTGTGCGTTTGTAAAAATAATTTCTATACAATTTTCTCTTGTATAGTAGAAAAAAACTTAATTTTGAATGTAATTGTAATCTGCATAACATTGTAAGCCCAACTTACATATGGGCAACATATAAACTTCAAACAGCAACAGTTTCTCTCCGTAAATCGGAATTCAACTTAACCCTATTCATCTCCTCGACTCACTTATACTATCGTATTATATTGTTACTCTAATTCTACAGTGAATAAACCTTTCCCTTCTGACTATCACATCAATAGTATGCACTTTCACAACAGCAACAACAAGCCAATTTTCACGACAGTCTCTAAAATATATAAATACAAGGTATGATATTTACAATTTCAATACTGAATATTGAATATTTTTGCATAATGTGATATTACAGAAGAAACTAAGCATTTTCGAGAAAATTTTTGCTTCTCTACTACTGAATAGAAATGGTAATATGAGACAGCGCCCCAACCAAACTGGATTAAGACCAGTTATGCTGACCAGATATTTATGTTAAGAAAGGTATTGGAACATCGTTTCAAATATCTGCAGCCTATCGTCACGTATTTCATTGATTTTGCATGCTTTCGATTCAATTAATAAAATGGCGCTTTGGAGGGTAATGCAACGCAACGGTATTCCAGAGAAGATCGTTCGACTCATAATAAAGGCATTTTATTAGTATGCATCGGCACAGATGTATGTATGAGGAGCTGATAGTCTTTATAAAAACTGGCAAGGTTCTTTCCCTACAATATTCAACTGTGACAATAGACATTATTTGTCGGTATTCATGAGGTGTACTAATCCAAAGCATCATATTACAGATCTCGCTGATGATTTAGTCCTTTTTGCTGACAAGTATATAATTTCAACAACTACAGCGAGAATCGGACTCAGGATCAATGTAAATAAAATGAAAAAATTTTTTTTTCTTCTTATAGATAAGAAGCTGATAAAATATCTATTTTTATCAACTTCCCGCCGGTTGAGGAAGTGCTAGACTTTAAATATCTTATATCCACTCTAATCAAATGGCAAAAGGAAAAAGGCGAAATCAAAACCCGTGTAATGGCTGCCTCCTTCTGGTTTAAATTTTTATGGAATCTCCGCGAAATCACCATCAAAACGAAAGTCCAGGTCCATATAACTCCAATTCGCTCGATCTTGCTACATGGTTGCGAAACGGCCAATGAGAGTGGAGAAGATTAAGAAGTTATATGGACCTGGACTATTCATATTTAAGATACATTCTACCAGTCCGCGGATAAAATCTCACATGGTTGCATCCATCTTCACAAGAGTTGACATATATATTTCGCTACTTGCTAAACCGGTGATGAGTGGCGGCAAAATCGTAGTCTAATCAAGATCTTACTGATAAAGTCAGAAAAGATTCTAAACGCATAGCGATATATGGACTTAGACGATAAAAAAAGGAGTGGCTTCTATTAATGTTGATGAATGGCATCAGACCTCGCAATTTGGAAAAATTTTGTAGCCAACTGAGTCAACTAGTAATCGTGAGAAATGTCAGAAGAAAAAATATTATTTCATTATTGAATGATAAGGTGGTCATGATAATTATTTAACTATAATACCTTACCATCTCAATTATTGCTATGGGAGGAATTAATACGGTATCAAGCTATTACTAGATCTAGTGGGATCTTTGAAATGAATCGTGTATAAGACCAAAAATTTTAAAAATCGTTTTCAAACCTGCTATTTTTCAAATAATATCTACTCTCTCTTATATTTAACATAATGAATCTCTAAATGATGAATTTGTGGCACATGCAAGTGATTTAAATAAACTAGCAAATCTTGCAAATCTTGTCACATAACCCATAGGTCGATAGATATATACTAGTTAAGAAACTGTTTTTATTTTTATTAAATTTTATTATTAAATTCAATCCTAACTACTAAGGATTATGAAAATCGATGAATTACTATATATTTATGAATGAGAACTATAATAAGCAATCCACTATCTACCTCTACGGAAATTATTGTTAGCCCTGCCCTTATATTTATATCAGATCCATCGAATTTCAAAAACAGAAATGACTAATTCAAAATCAAGTGCCTGATACTTCCGGTATTAGAGGCAAAAATAGAAATGGGATTATTACTAGCGCGAAATAAATCGCATTCTTCAAATTCTTCCAAAATCACAAACTTTATTTGAGTAGATATCACGAGGGGATAGAATTCTCTGTGGGTTGTTGCTTAGTTTGGAGCGCCGATGTTGAGGTTCGATTCCTCGCAGGAGTAAACCTGTACAAATATATGGGATCCTTGTTCGTCTCATTCTGAGTTTTCTAGACGACTTTTACATTTCCATACTCCCTCTTCAGAGTATAGATTCCATTTAATTATTTTTTCATCCGTCAGTCCTTCCAATTTGCCTTTCTGGTCTAATTTATACATCCATAGCTAATTCATAATCATCATTCGTCATTCCGGGTGATGCTGACGATTGACCTGTATTTCTATCGCCAAAGCATATTGCCCAATGCGACAAGCGAGTGGAGCGAGTTTAACCAGTAATGGTGAGGTTTCTTAAAAAAAAAAAAAACGAATAGGCATCCGTTGCCGAGGATAATATAATAAAATTTACATAATTTATAAATTTTTTCCTTATATTTGATTTCCTCATAGCGTGTCCAGTTCAATCTTCCAGTGAGATCCTTTCGCAAAAATTCGCCTTTTAATATAACAAAGCGAATTTCTTTAAATTCACAAGATGAAAGCATCAAAGAATCTATTTTGCACCTTACACTTGGTCCAGAGATCTCCTTTTTTAATGTATATCTTGCACAAATTACTTCTTCACAAGGTTCTTTTTAATATTTCAAAGTGCTTAGCAGCACATCCAATAGTTTTTCCAATGTAAGATCTTCGAAGATATATTAGAGATCGTTTTATTCTTAGAGAATTCTTAAATTAGCGAGTTTTGAGTTCCTCATTAGTTGACTGAGCTTGTTGGCTGATGGTCCAGCTTCTCTTTCTCATATTTTTCAAAGATTCAAGTCGATTGAAATCTTAATTTCTTCATATCTCTTCTATTATATTCATAAAAACAACAGTCTTCCTTAGAATTTCTTGGAACCATTGCAACAAACAGTTTACTTCAATAAAAATGCAACAAATGATATAAATGGTCTAGAAATTGAATCTTGAATCCATTAAGTCAGTTAAGATAATGTAAAAATCAAGAAGAGACTTATTAAAGCTAAAAAAAATTCATACTTTTATGAAAAATTTTTACTTTTTTATAAAATATTTTCATATAATTTTATACATTTTACAAAAAATTTGAATAAAAACTTTTTTATAAAACTTTCGCAAAATTTACAAAATGTGCATGGAGAAATTAGAATTGGTTGCAAAATTGGTATCAATTAACTAGTGAAGGTAAGATGGTAAAGGCTAAATCTTGAATTAATAATCTTCAAAATTTTTCATCCAATTTTATAGATTTGTACGAATTTTCGATGGTCGCAAATAACTCTTTGGTATTACAACTGGATTCCTATACCTTTGGCTTATACCCAGGTAATTTTTTTGCAAACAAATATGGTAAGTTCGGTTTAGTTTCTAGTTTCACACTGCAAAAAGCAAAACAGAGCATTATTTGAAAAATTTTAACAAATAATTGAGCTGCGGAAGAGAAATATTCACATCTTATCGAATTAATATCATATATATTGCTTTTTTCACAAGTCCATCTGACCGGGGAAACAAATGAATTCGGATGAAAATTGTCCGTGGATAAAAGAAGGTAGTATGGTTAAATGACATATTGCTTCGATCAAGTCATCATAAGTTGATTTCTACTTATCGACGAGATTAGGCCTGTCCTCAAAGGTGAAACTTGACTATCCATACTTCTAACTCTTAATTCTCTGGTGAAACCTTTCTTCTCATCCTAATATGCAATCAGCCAATGCGAAAATAGTATGTGCTGTCAGCATAAGAAAGGAATAAAATTGAATTTGAGCAAAACAATATATTAAAGACTGAAATGAATTTTAGGTGGTATTCCTAGCAGTACGTTTCTATTTTTTGCTTACAGTAGTCGGGCGACAATTTGTTGATGGAAGCATTTCTCCTTGGAGTGTAAATTTTGTTTCTCATTGTATATTTTTAACTTTTTGGCGATCCAAAAGTTTATTTCGTTTGATAAAATTTTATTGGTTCTGGATCTGTTGATGATTCCAAGATTACGCAGATCTCATTTATTTGTGATTAAATTGCTCTTATGTGGCTGAAAAATGTTAAAATTAATTTTCAGATTGACTTATATTTTCCTATTTTATCATTATTACAACTGATTTTCTATATTGCATGGCTAAAAGTAATTTTTAAAAATTTTTCGAATTATAAACCTTAAAAAAGCCTTATGAACCTTTCTTTAGTAAAACAATCTCATTTCCAGAAAATATTTGCGCCATTATAGGTAGCTGAAGCATTAATCAATCCATGTGGTGATGATGATGAAGATTTCGATTTTGAATGGTTTCTCGCCCGAAATCTCAGAGTAATTATCTTTGTCATCCTTATTACTATTAATTTCCAATAAAACTTGGTTTTACGTAGTTATTTGTCTTCATTTAATTACCATGAAGATGGCTCATAAGAAGTTATTCAAAAAATTGTTACAGAAAAAAGTAAAATTAATGTAAAAATGTTAATCTAACTTAATACTGTAAATGTAAGTGTAATATTTTGCCGACTCATCTTCAATTCATCTTTTGGCCATAAGTTTAAAATCCAAAGATGGAAGCCATTTTTTCTGGTTAGAACGGGAATGATATTTCTTAGATATTTCAATATCTCAACTGCACCCAGTCATTTTTTATTATTCATAATAGCAAGCACTGGCGATAATGGATGAGAAGAACTGTATGCCTCCGCCTTTGTGTTTCGATAAATTTTGGCGTGACAGCAAGAAAGCAGAAGAGAATCAAAATCATAATGAAAAAGAAAAGTAATTTAGGCTTAATTTATCCATTAAATGCAATATTGTCAAAAATTTAGAGAATGAATGATATTGCGTCTAAATTAAGTACATCAAAGATATTGGCTGTACAAATTTCATATCTTTAAATAATGGAATATGTCGAAATAAATAAGTTGTTCTGATAAGTTTCTTCTGAAGTGAAGCAACATGGGTTTGATTCCATTTCTTGGCGGAAGTTCGACCTTCAAAAAACTTCCATTAAAAGTGAAATTAAGGCAGTAATGGTCACCTAATGGTCAATAAATCTCATCTTTTCTAGAAAAATTTTTTCTCCAAATGTCTGATAAAACTCTGTTACTCAAGTTGTCAGTGAACTCTGTCAAACCAAAAGTAAGAGTTGATGAAAGAAAAAATATGTTTTATTTTTTATTTAGCTGGAATTAATCCTAGTTCTCGCAAGCATTCATCATTTAGGCATTTAAATGAATATATTTAGAAAGTATCCCTGATTAGAGGAATTTTTTTCTTAGAGATTGTAAAAAAGTATTTTTCCTAGGCCCTTGAATGCTTTAGCACCACCAGCAGTCTACAATCAATCGCCACAAAAGGTAAGACAATTTCGAAAAAATTTTTAGATTCAAGCAATTAAATTGCGATAATTCCGTGAATCAGATTGAAAAAAGAAATTTAGCTTTCAATAAATTCTCATCTTTTCTAGAAAAAGAATTATATATTTCCAACAACAAACTTCTTTCGGACGAAAGCTAACGCCAATTCTGTGGTGAAATTCATAAATCAAGTAATAATAAAAACTGTTCAAAAAAATTCTAAAAAAACAAATGATCAATTCTCAAAAATTTCTTTGTATTTTATTGGAGTCAATTTTATGATTTAAAGCTTCAAAATTAAAACTATCAGATAGCTATCGCAACAACTCCTAGAAATGAAAGAATTTCAGATAAAAGTGGATCCAGAGCAATCTACTGGAGTTACAAACCTTAGCAAAGTGATTTTAGTCAATGCAAACGATTCCGAAACATAGCGAAGAATTAATAATTGAAAAGTTTGCATTCTTCTCTGATTATCAAATAAAATGACCAAACAGTTCGCATAAATATTGAATTGTATAAATTAAATATGCTATCGTAAAACTAGGAAGAAATTCATAAAATTCAAAAATTATCAAAAAAAGTATTGCTTATCTGAATACTTATCACTGAAAAGTTCAAATTACAATTTGTGCCCGGCAGTTTTTATGACCAATAGCGAATCAGATATTTTGTCAAAATTTATATTCGGGAAATGTTGCTATTACTGAAAACTTATGAAAGAATTAAGAAAGCCATCAAAAAATTCAGTTTGAAAAACATATATAAAATATAAAATAAAATTTGTGCACTCGTGTAATTCAAAAAATATTTTTATTAAAAGCAATCAAACGGACTGTGGATATAGTAAAACAAGTGAAATATAATTAATGGCACAGTTGACAAAATGCAATGAATTTAAAAAATGCAATGCCAAACAATTAGGAATTTTCATTATTCTAAACCACTGGAAAAATTTATCTATTTCGTATCATGGAAATGTCTAAAAAATTAAAAATATACGATTTCTTTATAAGTCAATAATTCCAAAATTTATTTTCGAATATTTATTTTGACATTGTGACAACTCATTCTGACTAAAATGAATTAAAACAATGGTTGAAAAAGAGGTGTAATATGAGGAGAACTCTGCATTATTAATTTGAATTTAGCTAAATTATTAATATTATTAATATATTTTTTATAATTTATATTATTATTTATTACTTATTTCTTTATGCTATTATATTATTATTTTGCATTTTATAAATTCATTGCATATTAGCAATGAAAGAAAATTAACAGAATCGCATAAATGGGAAATCACAGATTTTTGACAAATTTTAACATTTAATAAAAAATAAATCCAAAAATAAAATTTGAGAATATAAAAAATTGTATTTCAAATATTTTCGAATTTATTAAATTATAGGAATTTTATATGAATTCATATGCGAATTCATTTTTGTAAAATAAATATTAAAAAATCACTTTTTATTTCAGCAACAAAAAAGATTTAATTTAAGTAAATTGAAATAGAAAAAAAGTCAACCAAACTCTTTTGATATTTTTTTTAAGGCCTAATGGAAAATAGAAATATAAAAAGGTTACTCGCTTTTCTGATTCTTTTACTTTAGAGCCACTGAGAATGAAATAAAAGAATGTTGTCAAATAAGGCCTTCAATTGAAGGTGGTTGAATAAACGGTAAATCTTTGGCATGATGATATTCTTCGAACTGTGGTTTATATTCGCCATGATTCCTTCTTCTTTCACGAATTTTACGAAAAATGAAATATCCACCAATAATCAACAATGCTATACAAAGCTAAAATTCTAATTATATAGGCCAAATATTTTTTCAGAAAACAAATGAATATTTCATAGAATAAACGAATTAATAGAAATTTTAAGTCATTCAAAAAGAAAAGAAAAATATGAAAATTATAAAATTTTTCTGTAAAACTTTGAAGTTTTTCGTTTATGATTAAAGGAAATTTTAAATTTAATTCATGGATTAGCGAAAGATGTGAATTTCCTTTCAAATAACCCATTCTTTCAACGATCCTCGACAAATTTAATAAAAGTTACCCAACAGCTGGCAAAATTCCAGCAATCATTCGAATCCAAACAGGTCACTTTAACGCTTGGAGAATTGAGATCGGAGTAATTTGGATAAATTAATTAGCTTATTAAAATACAATCTTATGAACAATAAGAATAGAACTAAGTGAAATAAGAATATTTCAAAGTTCTGATCGGCATTCCATGCACCACGACTTATAAGAAGGATGAGCAATGGGCAATAACAGGAGAACTCGATGAATAGTTATGCAGATAAACTAACCAAAATTGCGATTATGATGCCAATTATTGCTCCAGCAGATAAACCGTCTTGAGGGGATATTTCGACTGTTGTTGGTTCTGAAGTAATTGTGCCATTAGTGAAGGTATCGACTGTGGTAGAATTGTCCATTTGAGAACGATTTGAATGAAATAATCGAAAAAAAGCACTGGGAAGAAAATAAGAGGTTGAAGACGTTCAAATCCGATAAGAATCGGTAATTATAAAATTGTAACCAATATTTTGCCTTTCCTATCTAAAATAGAAAATTTTAGGCAAAAAGAAAGCATAATATGAAATTCAAATAGAGCGAATTCGATCGCAGAAAAAGATTTCTAAGATTTCCTATCGAATATCCAATATTTCAAATAAGTTTACATAAAGCAAAAAATATCAACGGTTCCTAAACGAGAAATGCCAGAAATTGATGAGGCTTTGAACCGCAAAAAAATTCATTTTATGATGAATACTTATAATTAGAACAAGACTTCAGAATTTAGAATTAGAACAGAAAAAAAGAACAGTAATCAACTATTGTTCATGAAACCCAAACGACAACGAAACCCTTAAAAAAAATTACCTTTATAACTAATTTTGCTCATGAGCAATTTGTTGGATCAAATAAGCTTACATTTAATAATACCTATATATAATACATAGATACATATATATATATATAAGTAAATTTGATCGGATGATGCCGGCGACTAACCTGTATTTTTATCGCCAAGGGACTCCCTAGCATATTTGTCTAGTGCGACAAGCCAGCGGAGCGAGTTTAACCAGTAATGGTGAAAACTCTTAAAAAAAATTAAATATGGTAAAGTAAGAAAAATAAAAGTAATATTAGTGCAGATTTTATCAATTTATCATAATTATTCAATGAATTATAAATATATTATGAATAATTCTTTTGATTAATACTTTTCCTTATTTTCTTATTAATTCTTTTGATTAAATTAATGATTTGTTGTAAGTAATGAGAAAAAAATGTAAGAAAAGCAAAGGTGATCGAGTGATATGGTTACGATTTGCACCAAGCATCAGAGATTCGATTCTGCCAAAGTGAACCATTAGAGAACATTAGAGAATCCAGAAGAGTTTTTATCGACCTATATTTACTTATAACTTCAAATACTTTGTGCAGAAATTTTTAACCGTACCGTACTAACAGCAATAGAAGCCATTTAAATCCAAGAAAAGTAATAAAATAGCCATGTTTTGGAGAGACTAATAGCTTTAGATTTGGATTACTCGGATTTGAAACATCAATAGAAAAAAAATGCAAATTTTCTAAGTCAAAATCTATCAAAATATAAATCAAAAAGACTAAAGCAAGTCACTTTATAATTATTTTTGGCAAATTCATACTTTAAACCAAGAATCACTGCGAAAATGGAAGATTATGAATTAAATAAATAAATATAATTAAAACGAATAAGCATTCAGAATAAATCGAATCGAATCGTACGACCATCAAAAAATTTTATAATTTTATAATCAATAAATGCAAGCCAAAAATTCTTATCGACTTAAGATTTTTTCTCAAACTAAGCCACTGATAAAGTGATAAAAATTGAGTATCCATTTTATTTTAATTCTGCTTTTAACTGAACTTTAAAGTGTTAAATTCTTACTCAAAAACAAATTTTGAATAGAAATTAAGACAAAAATATTAGATTTTATTTCCGATATTTCAGGATTTTTAACGAGAATTTTTGAAAAAAGGACAATGATGGATAAATCTTCATTATTGCTTTTGGATTTGATATCTGATAATAATAAAGTGTAAGTTATATATAAAAGAGATGGTAGAAAAAAATTTTAGCGAGTTTTTACTGTTTAATTTGTCCATTATTACACTAAGCTGGCCACCTACTTTATCTTTATCTCTTATTGCTGCCGTTCCACAGTGAATAGTAATAAATATTTATTTATGGCATTGTTTTTATCATTAAAATTACTTTTATTTTTTACTTTTTGACTAAAAGAACAGATAAAAGATTGATTAACTTTCAAAAAAGCTCAATTAGTCAAATCGTAAATTATCCAATAATTTATTGACTGCTAATCTTGCAGAAAATCTTCCAGGAATCCTTCTTTCACATCTTTTCTCTTTACATATTATGTTTAAGGATCGGAAAAAGTGAGGATATTTTGGCCATTTTGAAGAGAAAAATGTTACGGAGAAAACTGGGGTAAATAAGTAGGCTTAAAAGAAAGGCAGAGCATTGTTTTATATCTGATATGATATCTGCTGAAAAAATCCTTAAAATAAATCGTGAAATATGATGGCAAAGAAAGCAAGGAAATTTATATTTATATTTCAATATGAATATATACATTTTTTTAGCACTATTACTGCATGGATTTTAGATTTCGTTAGGTGTATGGTTTGGAAAATGCCTTTCACTCTTAAATAGTGTTTAAGTTGCCCTTTAAAGAATTCTTCCTCTTCACTGATAATTTACGCCGTAAAAACTTCAAAAATACTGAAACCACCAATCTTTAACAAAATAATAAAAAAGATGATATGAGAAAATTTGCAAATTTAGGCCATGAAATATACTAATGATATGTCGAATATAAATTAAACGCCAAAGAGGCTTAACTTTTAAACTACTTGATAATGCCTTAGGGCATTAACAACTCAGTTGAAATTCTCAATTCAAAATATTTAGAAATGTCCCTATGCTCTTATAATTATTCTATATCTATATAATCCACAAACTCCTAAAAATCTCCATAAATAATGTGTTCAGCCACATTAATTGTTAATTGTTGAACTATTTAAGAATATATGAAAAAAATTTGACCTTATCGTTTTTATCTTTCATTTGATATCGATTAGATTAAAATCCATGGGATCTCATAAATAAATATTGAAAAGTCGAATTATTATGGACTGAAGCGGACAGCGCGATGATGTGATAAGATAATAGTTTACTGATAAAAAAATCAGATTTTTAAAGCTCAAGATTGCAGAAAAATTCATAAATGAATAATAATAATAGTAATAATAATAATGTTAATAATATTAATGATAATAATGATAATAACAATAATGTTAATAATAGTATTAATAATGTTAATAATATTAATAATTAATGATGTTAACAATAATAATATTGATAATTAAAAATGTTAATAATATAATAATATTAATAAATAATAACGTTAACAATAATATTGATAATTACTATTGTTAATAATATTAATAATTAATAACGTTAGTAATAATAATAATAATTAATAATGTTAATAATGACATTAATGATAATAAAAATAATAGTCAATAAATTAATAGTCAATATTGAGTGATTAAAAGAAAAAAAAGGGCTATTTTCTAATGGAAAAAGCAAAAAAAATGATGGACATCGCACACTAGTTTTTGTTTATTGTTTATTAATGATTATTAAGATGAGGTAATTTTGCCAGCGAACTACTTGTGGAGAAAGTTAAAAGTAAATACTAACAGCACCGGAATTCTTTAATAAGAATTGACTTGCAGACTTACAGACTTGCCCCAGCCGGAAGATGGTGCATCCTACGATGCTCGATGCATTCGCTCGTTAATATATCAATCAGTGCCACTCTAGAGAAATTTGACCAGAATTTATGGAAACATAAAATTTAAGAAATTTAAGGCCATTCTAAAATTACTGAAAAATAAAAGGATAGTTAATTGAACATTCCTTTTGACTTATTTTCTCATATTTTCTTTAAAAAAAAAGGTAATCGGAAAAGAACGACGATAAGTGCAATATTCAAGGTTATAGCAATGAGGAAGTTTGTTAAATATGGTAAAACATTTAATAATCAAATTCTCCATTCCAAAAATTGCAATTATAGTGAAAAAGTCATTGGTTAGAGTTCAACATTTCTGCTTTAGATAGCTCCACTAGCTTGTTAGTACAGTTCCACTCCAATCTTTAAAGAAACGTTTACTTGAGTTAGAAGCCTAGAAAATTTAAAAATGCAAGGGCTGAATTTCTTTTTGCAAAGATCTTGGTTTTATTCAGGATGAATACTTTTCACTAATTCTGAACTTATTTTATGAGCAAATAAAAAAAAATAAAGCAATAAGTACATATAAATTAAAAACAAATGAATTTAGTAAATATCTCAATAATATGTAATAACGATGAGATTATAAGTCATTAGACAATAATAATATACGAAGTACCAGTGAGAAACTCATAAACATATTATGGTACCAGAAAAATATTACTTTTGCTGGAAAGCTGGATTTTTACTGGATTATCTCTAAGGCGATTTCTTCCTTACTGTCGCTTATGATATTAAAGCTATTTCGCAAAATATGCATTTAAAATAGGATTCCTTAAATAGTAAAATTTTTTGTTGCAGATTTACCAATTTCACTAAGACAATTTCATTCATACAATAGTCTGTAAAGGTGAAATAGAAAAAAAGAGAAAATATTTTCGAAAATAAGAAACCAATCTAAAGATCGCAAAGAAAAGAATGATTAAGACCAAAGCATGAAGGGAAACAGTAAAATTATTGTGCTGAAAGTACCAAAAACCAATTGATATAAAATATAGTTTTCATTATAATTCATACTAATTGTTTGGGATTTAGACAGTGCAAAAAAAGAAGTGGCATTCATTTCCAGTTATCAGGTATGGCACTGGATCCGGAAACGTTTTAACCATCAGTGCAGCCACTGGAAGTGGTGAGAGCTGCCGAAAAAAAAGAATGTCGAATCTAATGAAAAAAATATATAAAATATAAAAAAAATATATATATATCAAAAAATATTTCATAGTTCAAATAAGCAAAAATTTCAAATTTCACTTAATTACAAAAAAATTAGGAGGAGGTCAAACGATAATAATGATGTAACAAAAGCAAGAAAGGAATTTTTGAATTTGAGAATAATAAATGCTCCAGAGAAAAATAAGTTCGGTTCATATCCGGTGCATTCTTACTCCCTACCACTGGAAAGAGGGTCCAAGAATCGCGCATCGAATAAATATTAATAATATCTTATGAAACGGAATAAACAGAAAAAAGAAAACTGGATTACAGGATTATTTCTTAAAACAACTAAAACCTTAGAAGAATTAAGTCCGATAACCAGTTTTAAATAAGTAAAAATAAAAATATTT